GGAGTCTATTGGCACTATAGTCCCCCACTTTTCACTGATACCATAAGCTCTCCCCTTCCCACTCTCCCTTTTAGGAAAGTCCACATCTGCCCTAGTGGGTTTGGCTCTGTGGACAGAGCGTAGGCCTCGGCCTGCGGACTGAAGGGTCCCAGGTTCGATTCCAGTCAAGGGCACATGCCCTGGTTGTGAACTCCATCCCCAGTAGGGGGCGTGCAGGAGGCAGCCTATCAATGATTCTCTCTCATCATTGATGTTTCTCTCTCTACCTCTCCCTTCCTCTCTAAAATTAATAACAATAGATTTTTTTAAATAATACAAATAAATAAATAAATAGTCCACCCCTAATGCAGGCCCTTCCTTCAGTGGCCGCCTTTGCTCACTTCTGTCCCTTCAGCAGAAGCGCCCAGACTCCTCCCAGCTCCGTCCTCCTCCAGCGCCCCTGGCCCGCCCTCTGCTTCCAGTCGCTTCCCGTGGATGGTGGTTGTGGGCTGTTTCTCAGTGTCCAGAGCAGCTTAAAGCCCTGTCCTCCTGATGCATTGTTTAGGCCCCAGGTTCAAGGCAGTGATGTGGGCCTGACCGAAGGAGAAATGCAGAAACCGGTGACAGCTGCCCCAGATCCGGTTCCCGGGAGCCAACCCTGAGCGAGGCAGTCACATGGGGGATCTAACAAGGAAGCGCTTCCACAGGAAAGGGCGAGGGATTTGGGGAGCAAAACAGGGTGGCCACAGCGGACAAAGCAGGTTCCTTTATGATGAAGTCTGGGCCTGGCCCCATGTGGAAGGGGTGCCCCGGTACCTCCCAGGGAGCAGGGCGGGGGGAGGGACGGCAGGGAGGACTGCCAGGCACTCAGTCTCTTCCATCCTCTGGGGAAAGCGGCCCTGGCAGTGCAACAGCTTCACCTGAAAACGGTGGCGGATGGGTCCTTAGAAGCAACGTCTATAGCAACGGTGAGGGCCTAGGCCTTGTGAGTTCTCTTACATCTTAATATTTACAAAGAAGCTTGTAGAGGTGAGATAGCTGTTAAGATGATAGATGATAGAAAGATAGATAGATAGATAGATAGATAGATAGATAGATAGATAGAGTGGATGGGTGGATGGATATGGATGGATAGGATGGATGGATAGATGATAGATAGATAGATAGATAGATAGATAGATAGATAGATAGATAGATAGAGTGGATGGATATGGATGGATGGAGATAGATGATAGATAGATAGATAGATAGATAGATAGATAGATAGATAGATAGATAGAGTGGATGGGTGGATGGATATGGATGGATGGAGATAGATGATAGATGATAGATAGATAGATAGATAGATAGATAGATAGATAGATAGGAAGAATGGATGGGATGGATGGATAGGATGGATGGATAGGATGGATGGATAGATGATAGATAGATAGATAGATAGATAGATAGATAGAAAGAATGGATGGGATGGATGGATAGGATGGATGGATGGATAGATGATAGATAGATAGATAGATAGATAGATAGAAAGAATGGATGGGATGGATGGATAGGATGGATGGATGGATAGATGATAGATAGATAGATAGATAGATAGATAGATAGATAGATAGATAGATGGAATAGATGGATGGGTGGCTGGATGGATGGATGGATGTGGATGGATGGATAGATAGATAGATAGATAGATAGAATGGATGGGTGGATGGATGGATGGAGATAGATAGATAGATAGATAGACAGATAGATAGATGGAATAGATGGATGGGTGGCTGGATGGATGGATGGATGGAGATAGATAGATATATAGATAGATGGAATAGATGGATGGGTGGCTGGATGGATGGATGGATGGATGGATGGATGGATGTGGATGGATGGATGGATAGATAGATAGATAGAATGGATGGGTGGATGGATGGATGGAGATAGATAGATAGATAGATAGATAGACAGATAGATAGGAAAACAGATGTGATGTGAAGCTCTGGTCTCTGACTTCCCAGGTATTAAACGTTTTTGCTCTTCCTGGTGTGAAGAGAACTTGCCCAGATAAACCCCTAGTTCACAGCAGGTTCTGTGAGACAGAGAAGAGTGTCCTGACTATAAAATATCAGGGCATATGCAGCCCTGTTTAGTTGGCATGACGTCCACCTCTTCTCACAGGAACTCCTCACTGTGTGCCTCTCTTTCCCGGAGGAGTTCTCAGCTCACGGGTAGAGTCTGACTGAACTCAATCCATGCGAGTGAGGTGCGCTCACTGGTAAGAAGTAGCGGGCTGTTGGGCGGGGCCAGGCTCAAGGTGCCGGTCCTGACCTTGAAGAGAGACCGGTCCACAGGTGGCGGATTCTTGTTGGGCAACATTGAGGGTCACAGGAGCAAACCCGGCGAAGGAGATGTATAGTTGGAAGTTAGCCAGGTGAGTTAATGGAGGAAAAAAAGGCTAAAGGAGTTCAATGTTTGTGAGTAGATGATTATGCTGACAGACCACGGAATCAGGGGTAGGTGGAGAAAGAAAAATAAAGGTAGGATCTGTGAATTGGAAGTCAAGGAGTGAATCAGACACACTACGTAAATAAGCGGAAGTTAGGGGTCAGGGAGAAGAACTGGAAACTGAGGCACAGCAGTGTTTCCCGGTGACAAGGTCACCGACACGACCTTGGGAGTAGATAATGCAGGTGAGCAAGAGGAAAAGATTGCTGAGCTGAGGACATCAAAGAAATGAGAGACTTGGGCGTTAGATTCATCCAGGGAGTAACACATCTAAGAATAAAGAGAAGAGTTGACAGTTTTCAAGTTTCTTTAACCTCCTGCCCAATCAAACGAAAACAAAGGGAAGTAAAAACAAGGCCGGCCCTGCGAGATGTGCCGAATGGGTGAGCAATTAACTTCCCTGCAGCGCTTATTTCCCTGGGTGCCCAGGACCAGGCATAGTGATTGTCTAAATAACCAAATCATCGCACGTTTATTTATACTGAATATTGACAAGGACAATGTCAAGCCTACAAGGCTTCCCTTAATAATAACTCCGTGGCCCCCTGGATCACCCATGAATAGCTGTGTCATTGGGAAGAGAATTTAATTCTCTGTAGAGAATAGTGGATGGCATTTCATTCTAAGTCAAGAGGAGAGCCTGCACAGAGGCATGGGTGTGTCCTCATCACTTCATTTGTGTATGTCATTGGCCGGCGGTACCCTATCTCATGTACAGAGGGACGTCCGGTCATCTTTATCCACCCTTCCTGCCCTCTCACAGCGGGAGTGAGTTTTTTAAACCCAGTTTCCTTATGTAGAAAATGCGGAGGTAATTCTATCACCCTGATTTAAATAAATTAGGACAGAGCATTCTTTAAGAAACAGTAACAGTACAGGAGAGGACTTTTCTCTGGATGTGGCAACACAGTCGCCCGAGACGCCCGGCACACTCCACGAAGTAGCCCAAGGACAATAAGGTTCTTTCAAATTGGAGAGTCTCTCATTTGCTCCTGCAAATGCCAGCGTCCGCTTTTGGTTTCCAGCTATGGAATTATAACTATAAATCAGACTAACGATGTAGGAGCCTACAGGTTTCTGAGGACCGTGGTGTCATCAGGGGGCGCCGGAGAGGCGATGCTCACCCTCTGGGCCCCTTGGAGGTAGGACTGGCTCTTAGGCAAGCGCCACGGGCGACTCTACCAGTGGGCACACCAGGCGCTGCCTCGCGAAGAAGGCAGCCCGGCCTCCGCGCCATCCCCTGCCCGGGAGATTAGGTGCCAGGATTCCTGTGTGGAAAAGACATCCGTTTGGGGGAGAGAATTTTCTGAGTCCCTGATTTGGGGTAGAAAGTTAAAGAACAGGTATCTTCAGGCACAGTTCTTGTTGTGGATTCGCTTACTGGTTCACATCCACCTTGAAAGGAGGGTGTGAAAATGGAACAGGGGAAATGGGCATCTCTGGGGGGGAGAGGATCACACATGTTACCTTTCTTGTCTTCTTACGTGGCTCTGCCTACAGTACCCAATCTGTGATTAAGAGGGAAAGGAAGGAGGAAGTGCCCTGCCGGTGTGGCTCAGTGGTTGAGCATTGACCTATGAACTAGGAGGTCAGGGTTTGATTCTGGTCAAGGGCACATGCCCAGGTTGCGGGCTCGATCTCCAATTGGAGGCGTGCAGGAGGCAGCTGATCAATGATTCCCTCTCATCAATGATGCTTCTATCTCTCTCTCTCCCTCTCCCTTCCTCTCTGAAATCAATAAAAATATATTTCTTTAAATTATTTAAAACATAATGAAGGAGGAAGGCAGGGAGAGTGGGAAGACAGGAGCAAAAGGGGGTGGGAGAAGGGCTGAGCCAGGTGCACACCTCACACAGTGACCCCTGCTTGCGCGTCGAGCCTTCTCCAGCTCCCCTCTGCCCGCAGTCCTGGTCCAGGGTCACCGACTGTCTTCCTGCTCTTGGGACAGTACCTCCCTCTTCCCCATCTCAGCTCCTCGCGTCCACAGTTCCCTCCTTGGACTCCCTCCTCCCTCCCAGCCTCCACCCCGGACAGGCCTCTGTCCTCATAGCACCCAGTAAGGTCTCTTCCCTGAGCCCCCATTTTAAATCAGGGCCCGAGGTTGAACTTGCTAATGACAGCTTTTCCGTTACAGACCTTGTCATGGTTTGCAGTTGGGCGTGTGTTTGAGCGATCGTGTGTTGGGTCTCTGTCTTGTAGCCTATAAGCTCCGGGGGAGCGATGGCAAAGCCTGCGGAGGGGGGGTGGGGTGTCCCAGTGTATCCCCTGTGGCCCACTCACGTCTGCAGTGAAAACTGCCAGAGGGACAGACCGACCATTTGAGGAGTTGACTAACAGCACCTTCATTGTTCTCTGGGCTCTGGCTGCCCGTAGAGTTACGTTACTGCTGTCGAAGTTGGAGGAGGTGTGTTCTCTAGATTCTCACACTCGCTGAGACGCAGATGGGTCACCCCTCACATACATGTTGAACCTGCACGAAGCTGGGCCTGGGCCGCTGCTGGACCACTGACTCACGGCTGGTCTTTCAGGTCGGGATCGTGCAGTACGGAGAGAACGTGACCCACGAGTTCAACCTCAACACCTACTCCTCCACGGAGGACGTGCTCCTCGCTGCCAACAAAATCATCCAGAGAGGCGGCCGCCAGACCATGACCGCCCTCGGGATCGACACAGCCAGGTACGCGGCCACCAAACCCGCCACAGCCAGCGTCTCCGGCCTGGCCGTTCGCAGCGCGCAGCGAACACTCACCTTGGCGATGCTTAGAGCCATCTTGTTTAAAGCCGGATTCGGCCAGTGAGCTTGCAGTTCCAGAATCAGGTTTTTCTATTATACAGTCTCTCTTCTTCTCTTTCCGTTTATTCCAAGGGTTAAATCGATGGAAAATCCATCAAAAACCCGGTCGTCTACAGCATTGTGCTCTTGGGCAATACAACATAACAGGAGGGACTGTCTTTCCCTCTCGTCTTTATTCCCAGCTTCTAGGATTTTCTATTTAAAAAACATGGTCTGTGCACTTCTATTTGGTACATATTTACATCCTCGTATGCCTGTCATTTTCCAGCACCGGCCTGAGGTTATGAGAGCGCTCAAACAGGAGTGTAAGAGGCCACGTCCAGTATTGCCTTATTTGAAACCATGCTCAGCGCACACATTGCAAGAAGTGGATGTGATGCTGGCTCTTTCTTCTTTCTTACTTCTTCCAAATCCCTCCGACTTCCACCCCTGCCTCCCTCCTGCCGACTCTGTGGCTGGACCTCCTTCTACAAGAGCCCACCGGCCCGCCCTCCGCAGCGCAGACCTGCTCTTTCTGGATTTCCCATCTCCTCCAGCTCTGTCTCCCCCTGCTCCTCCGCTCCGTCACCGTGAGAACTCCTAAGCTTCTGCGCAAACACGGAGCAAACACTGGAGCAACCCCCGAGTCTGACAGGCATTTGTCTGGTGTTAAGAGCCTTCAGCTGCGGCTTCCGCCCCGGGACCCCCTGACCCTGAAGAGCCGCTGCCCGTGCCCCTCGCCTGCCTGCCGGTCAGGGCTTCACACACTCCAAAGAAGGGCCTGGATGGTCAGAAATGTTAGCTCCATGTGCAGCTTTAGCCTCGTCAGCGTTAGAAAAGCACGTGGTTCCCCTTACATGGGCCCAAGAGAAGCTAACCCCGCTCAGCGGGGGCCCCTGTGCAGGTCCCTGCCCACGGGCCGCCAGCACGGAGCGCGGCTGGGCGCACTGAGGCCTCCCCGGGTCTCGGCCCAGTGTGGCCGCCCACGGTCAGCCACAGCGGCCAGCCACAGCGCTCCCCCACCGCTCCGAGCCCCGGGGCCTCGCTGTGCGCCCCGAGGCGACCGCTGCAGCATGAATACGAGGCTTTGAACACTCCCGGAGCACGGTTCCGGCCCCCTCGCCCTGCACAGTCCCACTCGGATACCACGCCCTGCGTGGCCGCCCGTGCGGTGGGCGCACAGAGGTCACTGAGTTCTGTGTATAAATGAGCCCCTGTGACAGGGCTCAGCAGTCCTCTTGTCCACCCGTTTTTCGCGGTTGAGGATATTTTTAATCGCTGCTTACTGCTTTCGGGCAGGGCCAGTCTCAAACACTACTTTTGGTTTCTTAAGAATCCTTGACTTCCATGTCCCGTGTCCCCCAGTTCAAAATGCGTGTGTGTCCCCCTATCCCTGCCCCAAGTTTCCTTCCTTTGCAGTAGGTTCACACGTGTAATCAATCATAAGGCCCGGACCCTCCTATCCCAAGGAGAGGGCTCCCCTGGGATGTTTCCATGTTTACAGGCCTGCAGGAGGGCCGGGGTTTAAATTACAGACAGAACCTGGGGCGAGTCTTTGGGGGCCCAGGGCGATTTGCTGAAGGTACTTGAGAGAAGGGTGTGCTCGGGCGTCAGCCAGTGGCCACTCCTCTGTCACCTGGAGCCAGTGCTGGTCTCAGGGCTGCCACATGTGCCTCACGGAAGGTCTGCCAACCACCCTCGCTGATGTCTGCCTTCTGGACAGTTGGGGAGTGCAGGGGACCCTCCCAGGCACAGGACTGGAAGGACTGACTCCATGAGACGTACATGAACTTCGCTTACATACCCGCCTCTCGCGTCTGTTTTCACCTTTGCTTGTGCGTGGAGAGAAGTCAGGGAACCTCCTGCCTAGTGCAGACGGCAGACACACAGGTCCCCGATGGCCAGTATTTTTTAATTTGCTTTCTATTGAAAATTTTAAGAAATATTTAAATGTAAAAATTTCAGTGCAGCAAAACGCTCTGTGTGCACTGAGCAGGATGAAGGTGGAAGGTGGCAGCTTGTCGAGCTTGCTTCAAGCCCTTTTCCAGGAAAAACGGTCACAGATCAGACCCCTCTGTGCACATCCCCGAGGTCCGCTCTCCCTGCTCCGAGAGCACCCCTCCCGCGCGGCTACTGCGCACCTGGCCTGCGGGAAACGGAGGCAGATGGTGCCAACGGCTTGGGAGGCGGTTTCAGGGATGTTGGCATAATCCAAGCTGCAGCTGTTCCTCCCAGGACCAGAGTAAAATGTTTAAGAGGACCACTCAGTGCAACGATTGCTGCATTTTATACCAAAACATGAAAAATAGTACATACAGCCCTTTTATTATTTCGGGCCTAAGTAGAATGTACTCTTCTCTACCAAGACCCCGGCAAGGAACGTGAGTTGAGTAAAAGGAAAAAATAGAGGGGAAGTGTGTGTACAAAACACACAAGACAGACAGACCGTCCATTTCTCCTCTCTCCAGCTCACTCCAGAGATGCTGCTGGAGTTAAACCCCAGTCCCTTCCTTTGCCACTTGGTTACAGCCTTTTCCCTTCCCTCGTGCCCCCTTTTCCCACCCCACCCCCAGCAGTCTGTGTCCTAAACCTGGTTCCCAACTCTTTCATGGCTGCCCCAGGCCTCCTGGGCCCGTCACCCTGTCGTCTCTACTCCGACCAAAGCCATCTGCGGTCTTTATTCTTGCATCTCATTCCATCCTCCCAGCCCCCAAGGCCCCTCAGGCACTCACAGCCCACAGATGGTCTCTTGCCCATCGCCCCTCCCACTCAGTGCACCTGCAGGCTGCTCTGCAGGTCAGGGTGCAGGGAGAGAGGTGTGGGGGGAGGCTGCAGCTAAAGCAAGAGCTGTGCCAGGGCAGAAGGAAGAGGCTGCGGGGCAGAGAAGGGAGCCTGTGGAGCAGGGCGTGGCGGGAGGGCGTTCAGATCTGGCCTCAGTGCGGTGACCGCTCCATCACACCTGCCCCTCTGAGTGTCCCCAGAAGGAAAGGCTGCAGCCTCTGTGCCGGGATGTGTGTCAGCAGGACGGTGCTCCGCATCCAGATAAATCTAAGCCTGTGCGAGTCCTGGCCTCGCGGTGACCTGACCGGGGAGGGAGAGCGGCTCCCTGGGGCCCTGTCCGGGGCTCCCCCACCCCGGTGGCGGTTCACCAGCTTCTCTCCTCTGGACCCTTTCAGGAAGGAGGCTTTCATGGAGGCCAGGGGCGCCCGCAGGGGCGTCAAGAAAGTCATGGTGATCGTGACAGACGGGGAGTCCCATGACAACCACCGGCTGCCCCAGGTCATCCAGGACTGCGAGGGGGATGGCATCCAGCGGTTCTCCATTGCGGTGGGTACCGGGCCCTGCGGTGATGGGACTCTCTCAGGCCCATAGCTGGGGGGGCTCCTCCGCGTGCCACCCCTCGGCGTGATGGAGGGTAGGGAGGCGGGAGATGCGCGTCGCGGCCTGTGCCCTGGGTGCAGAGCCCAGGCCACTCACACCCCCACTGCGCGAGCCAAGTGGCGCCACAGCAGCTACGAAAATGTTCCCTGTAAACGCATGCAAGCCGGACAGGAGGCGAAGGGACCGGAGCAGGAGACATTCCCTCGGTTCCGAGGGCACCTGGCGGCTGTGATGATGGGTGCTGCCTGGAAAGCCCGCAGCCTGGACACACCTGTGCCCACGCAGAGACACCGCGGTTCACACCCAGCACTGCCTCCCACGTGCAGCCAGAGAGACGGAGCACTGACCCCTCCTTTAGCGCCTTGTTCTAACCCCTCCTGCAGCTCCGTGCAGTCAGCCGGCTTCTCATGGCGCCGACCCTGGGGAGGACATCAGAACACAGGCTTCGCAAACACGGACAGTCATTTAAGGGACCCTTACCCGCACGCTGTCACGTACAGTGGCATTTTCTATCTGTGTCCACCTGCCTTCCCTGTCCTCAGGCTCCCCAAGAGGAGGGTAGCTTTCCTTTCCCCGCGCTGTGAATCGGGGAGCCCAGGGCAGCAGGCCCATGGCTGTGGGCGGCCTGGCCCGGTCTCTGAGTCTCCAGACTCTGCGGCCCCCTCACCCCCGACTCATCCTATGACCCGCTGTCCCTGGCTTCCTTCCTAGGCCCCAGTTTCCCACCCGTCTCCACTCACGTCGCAGCTTCCCAAAGGGCACCGCAGTCCCCCCCCCGCCCCCCCCCCCACACACACCTTGTACAGAGGTACAGAGACCCCGGCCTAGAAACTTGAAGCTGCACCAGCCGCGTCACAATCTGAACAGCAGGGACTCCGGGCACTTCCCCGAAGCGATGAGTAGGGGGGGGGGGGGCAGAGGACACTGTATTTGAGTCAGAAAGGCCTGCATTCAAATTCCGCCTGTGACAGTGGTCAGTGACTTAACCCTAAGCGCTTCAGCTTCTTTTAAAAAATATATGTTTCTATGGATTTCAGAGAGGAAGGGAGAGGGAGAGATGGAAACATCAATGATGGGAGAGAATCATGGATCGGCTGCCTCCCGCACGCCCCACACTGGGGATCGAGCCTGCAACCCGGGCCCTGACCAGGAATCGAACCCTGACCTCCTGGGTCATAGGGCTGAGCCACGCCGGCCAGGCTCGCAGTCTCTTATGACACTGAACACGGACTTGCTGTGGGACCAGCGCTGTCGCTTTCAGGTCCGCACTCGGGAGCAAGGAAAACGTCCACACAGAGACCCCGGCAGGGCTGTTTCTAGCAGCTTCACTCTTAATCACTCGAAACTGGAAGCAGCCCAGACGTCCCCCACAAATGCATCGGGTGCCTCGCGGTGGGAGGGATCCCGGTGAGAGGGGCTGGGCTTCCCACACAGCGGCTGCGGCAGCGGCATGGCTGTCAGAGCACCAGGCACAGTGACAGAAGCCAGGCGCACGGCTGCATGCCGCTGATGCCTTGCGTCTGACGTCCTGGAAAAGCAGGCTGTCAGGGCAGAGCACAGACCGGGTCCCTGAGGGGCTGGGGAGGGAGGTGGGCACAAGGGAGCCAGAGGGAGCCTGGGGCGGCGGGAACATTCCCTGTCTCCACGCGGTGGTGACACAGGGCCTAGCTTTGTCAAAACTCAATTGTCTACCTAAAAAGAGTGGCTTTTACTGCATATAAACGATATCTCCATAAACCTTTCTCTTAAAAGTAAACCAAATGTTCAAGAGAACCTTCTAGAACATGTAAATAATTATAGCTCACACAAACAGACAGCCCCGCCTCCTTCTCTGTGAAAAGGAATGTCCCTGTCTGGGCCTTTGGTTTCAAACAGGAAGTCTTAATTGTTTATTTCCCAGACTTCCAAGCGAGATCGCTCCTCGTCCAATTGCTGTTTAAAATGTACATGCAGCCCTGGTTGCTTTGGCTCAGTGGGTAGAGCATGGGCCCACGGACTGAAGGGTCCCGGGTTTGATTCTGATCAGGGCATGTAACTTGATTGCAGGCTTATCCCCAGTAGAGGGCGTGCAGGAGGCAGCTGATGGATGTTTCTCTCTCATGGATGTTTCTAACTCTCTATCCTTCTCCTTTCCTCTCTGTAAAAAAATCAATAAAATATATTTAATAAAGAAATGAATGAATAAAATGTAGGTAGGTTAGCCTGCCCCTTGGTAGGGTTTTCAGGAAGAACCAAGAATTCAAGGTCAAGCAACCCTCTGGCTTCTCGCTTCGCCAGCAGACGGCGGTCTCACCGGCCAGCATCACATCAGGGACCGTCAGAAAGTGTAGCGTTTCTTTTGAGCTATCGTATCTTTAAGAGACGGCGGTTAATAAACAGGTCCACGGGAATGCAGCACAGGAGCCGTCCACGAACACGCAGGACTGCCCTTCACATCCCCCGCCCCCATGGCGGCGTGGAACAGTTACTGTCAGGGAGCCCCCACCTTCTGGTAATCATGCTCCCAAGAAGGTGCGAGCACATGAAACCACGTTAGGCCAGGACCCTACACACTCTCCTTCACCCACAAGGCGCCTGAGCCCCTGTTGTGCACAGAGTTTAAGGCACCTTCCCGCCATTTCTGTTGCCTCAGATTCTCGGCAGCTACAACCGCGGGAACCTGAGCACCGAGAAGTTCGTGGAGGAGATCAAGTCCATCGCCAGCGCGCCCACCGAGAAGCACTTCTTCAACGTGTCGGACGAGCTGGCCCTGGTCACCATCGTGGAGGCGCTGGGAGAGAGGATCTTCGCCCTCGAAGGTGGGCGTGGGGTGGGTCCGCGTCATTCCCGCCGCGTGGCTGGGGGGTTGGGTGGGCGTCACTGTGTGCAGTGGCCGGCGTGGGGCAGTGACCCTTCCTGTAGTCTGACCTTGGGTCTGACCTTGCCTGGGTGGCAGTGTCACATGGCCCAGGGGCTGGGGGCTGGCTGGGTGAGGACACGTGGGCGGGCGTGAGAGCCATGAGGACGGGGGCCCGTGGGGACGTTCAGGAGCAAATATGTGCCCGCGCGGCCTGTTTCTTTCCTGTGGCCCCGGTTCAGGGAGGGCGACGCGGGCCGGGTGTCGTTTTTCGGGTTTGTTTCCTGTTGGGGGCGAGGGGCCTGTCCTCAGGCGGCGGCTTCCATGTTCATTCCCTCCCTCCTGTCCTGCCTGCCCGCTGTGAGGTCTCCATGGCGCCCCGGTCCCAGGGCAGCGAGACGGCGGTTCACACGCGTGTCGAAGTCACGTCACTTCTTCCCAGATTCTTTCTTTGCTTTTTCACGGCGACCGGGGACACTGAGCGTCGCCTTAGGTAGAAGAGGTGGAAGAACAGCTTACGTAGCAGCTAGGTCTTCCCTGACGAAAGGACGCCTTCGGGTGGTGGGCAGGCACCCCTTTTCCTCCTCGCTCTCGGGGATCGCAGGGCAGAGGGCAGCCCTTCTCACCGAGGACGAGAACCCCAGCGCCCCTCCCTAGGGCTCCCGCTGCGTCTGTGCTGTGGGGCCACACGGAGGACTGTTGTCTTTGTACCTTAAACGTGAACGTGGACGTGTGAAAGCACAGTCCTGCTCGAGGCTGGTGATGGGAGCGTCAGATACACTGGGAAGGGGCCCTGCTGTGAAAGGGGCCACTGACAAGGACAATGCAGGGGAGGGGCTACAGGGGATGTTAAAATGAATAGGAAGGCGGGAGAGTGAGGTGGAGTAATGGCTCTCGAGCGCTTCTTGACAGTGACCCCGGCGATAAGTCCAGCTTGCTCTGTGACCGGGACACGCACATCTACACACCTAAAATAAAACCAGTCTCACCAAGTGGCCCTTACCGCAGGCACCGCGCTCTGGCATGTGCCCATCTCTGCCTCCCACTCTCTCCTCTTTCAGTTAAAAATAAATAAATGCAGGTGACAACTCACCTGTTGATTTCACGCCTGCACACAGCCAGTCAGTGGCAGGTTCGCTGTGGAGACGATGGCGCTCCACAGACCGGCCATCGGGACTGGACTTCTCTGCCCCCTGTCACCCCGCTCCTTGTGCCCTGAGGAAATCGAACACTGGAACTGCTTTTCAGCCGCAGTCACAGCGGCTTCCGCAGCACGTGGCGGCCCCCGTCCTGTGGACAAGTCACCTCTCGGGGCTCTGCGCTCGCGGCAGCCACCCCTGTCCCCGACGCCCGGGCCAGGCCACGCGCTGGCGCTCCTCACGGAAACGATGAGGTTTTCCAAGTCCTTGTGCGCTTTTAATGGTTCGCTGACATGCGTCGAGATGTGATAGAAGCAAACCGCTAAGGCCATCTAGAGGACACGTGGCTGAGCTACGTGAGACAGCGAAGCACCATGCAGTCCCGTGTGTCCCCTGACGTCAGGAACCGTCACCGAAGCCTCAGAGAAATGGAGCCTGTGTCAGGGACCGGGTGGAGGAGGGTCCACTTTCCTGACGTGACATTTCAGGTCGTTCTGACCTGGGGACACCATGCCTCCAGGGTGCTCAGACACCCCGACGGGCCTCTATAGTAAGAGAGGAATTACTTGATGAGGGACTCCTCAGATCAAAAATGCCTTCCCATGTAGGCCAGCCAACGAGGGTTTGGGGCAGCCTGTCCCTGATTCTCTTTCATCGTGAGACCGGAAACGGCGTCATGTCCTTGCGCACTTGGGGAGTCTGCATTCTCTATAAACATCCACCTTCTGCTAGTAAACAGCCATTCTGAAGTCCCTGCCGGCCCCGGGCAGCGCCACCTGGTGGGGGGCGGGTGCCAGCAACTCGCCCAAGAACATCAGAACGTGGTCTCAGGTCTCCCTTTCCCATCTGACCTTGGGAGAAACGCGGACTTCCCCAACCAGAGGCTGCACAGTGGTTAGAGCGGCTACCTGGGCACCTGGCAGCCAGGGAGGCGCTGACAGCAGGAAGTTCAGGGAGGTACCCCGGCCGCTCCCACGATGCCCATCCAGCCGCAGCATGTCCGAGCTTCCTGCTGTCTGTCCTCAGATCCAAGCAGAGCAGCAGCCGGCAAAGGGCTGGGGGCTGGCAGGCCTTTGCTGCTGTTCCTGTCACTGACCTGGCAGATACAGAGAAAGCACCTCCAAGTACCGGGGGCCTAAGTGAAGGCTGCGATCCATTAAGTTACAGTGCATCTCGGTCATGGAGGTGAGAGGGTATGTGTGAGATTAAAATGATCGATTTGAGTTCTTGGTTGATTTTCCCACTGAATCCAGTCCTATAAAAAGGCAATTGCGGGTGTACTTGTTAACAAATTTATGCCAGGAAGTAACGAGGAAATGAGTTTGATTCCACAAATGGGATTATTCTCATGGCTCAATGAAAGGGCAGACTGGCATTCTTAAAATATGCTCTATTTTTAACGTCTCCGCAAGGCCCGATAAATCAGTAACTCCCACGGAGAGCCAGTAAGTCAGCATTCCCTCAGTCCCCTCGCGGCTGTGGCTGAGGGCTGGTGGGTGTTTTGCGGGTAGCACATTCCCGTGGGGTGCTTGGGACTACCTCTGCGCTGTAGTGAAGAGCTTCAACGTGGACACAGGATCGTGTGTGTGTGTGTGTGTGTGTGTGAGAGAGAGAGAGAGAGAGAGAGAGAGAGAGAGATTGAATGGCACGTGGCCCAGAGCCCTGTCAAAAAGTCCCCTCCTGGTCTGAGTGATACTCACAGCCGGAAATTAGAACAAATACAAACCTGGAATCCCTACCACTTTATCAAACAACGGAATTCTGAGAGGATCTCCAGCCGGACATATGGGTGAGGATGTGAGTGCCATTTCCTCCGCCCTGTAAGGCAGCCGGCGAGTTTGGTCCGATATCTCAGCAGAAATCCCCGGACGAGAGGCCTGGACAGAGCTTCCCCTGCAGGGCTCCGGGCTTTAGCCTGTGGACAGAGAGCACCATGAGGCCTGTCCGCAGCTGGTGTGTGAGGACACGGCAGGAGTGGAGACGCCGCCACACCCCGCAAGGGTGCGGAAACCGCGGGCAAGGATGGGAGGCACGCGCTCTGCCGATGTGCCCTGCCCCGGCCCTGCCCGGGGGTTCTAGATGGAGAAATGGGGCTGGAAGTGCCTTGAAGGGTGAAGTTCGGTTGGGAAAGACCGAGACGGGGCTCCCTGCAGCTCCGCGGTGCTAAGGGCGTCTCTCTCCTTCCAGCCACCGCCGACCAGGCCGCAGCCTCCTTTGAGATGGAAATGTCACAGACCGGCTTCAGCGCGCACTACTCCCAGGTACGTCTCCCCTGTTCATAGCTTTCTTCTTCCAAGAAAAAAAAAGCTAGTTCAAGGATATATTTCAAGAATGTGAATTTTTTTTGAGGTTTTCTCCCCAAACCAACACCCAGGCATCAGCACGACAAGTACAACGTGTGGTTGGTGGCTGAGCGGTTTACCATATCCTGGTGACGTTTCTGGTCAACAGGAGACTGGCATTCCTAGCTCCTCCTGGGAAAACGTGTTCTCTCGCACAGCTCACAGCGCGGCGCTAACCGCTGTGAATCGTTACGCCAGGTCCCCGTTTACGTAGTCATGCAGCCGGCTGTGTGAAATGCTTGATTTAAAACATTTGCTGATGCTATGGGGTGGATCTTTTTCTCAGCGTTAAGATACTCAACGGTTCTGCTAGAATTCCACATTTAAGACCTAGGGTTCTTGGCACCTAGAACAAAGCTTTAGAAATTACGTCGTTTGTGGTTGATGGAGGAAAAGGCAGCGCGGTCCCTGGAAAGGCCGGCTGACACTCGATGTGCAGTTGTGCCATCGAACCAGCCGGGCCCGTCACTGACCCCGAGGATGGAGAAGGTGCTCCCGGCGGCCGGCCGCACGGCCATTGTGAGGGTTACAGAGGCTGATGTGTGGGCAGCCCGAGGAAGGCGCCCATCGCACTGTTGACCTGCGTGTCTGCTCTTATTAACCGTCGTTTTCTCTTCCGGATGTCAGGACTGGGTCATGCTCGGAGCTGTCGGCGCCTACGACTGGAACGGGACGGTCGTCATGCAGAAGGGGAATCAGATCATCATCCCCCAAAACACCACCTTCAATGTGAAGTCTTCCAAAAAGAATGAGCCCCTGGCCTCCTACTTAGGTAAGTTGGGGTGTCATGAGTAGAATGTGATGGCTTGTAGTCGTGTTTGTGTGTTTCATCTTTAGCATCGTTTGCTGGTGTTTCTGTTGGCTCACTGACAACTATGCAGAGGTCACTTCCAAGGGTCGCTGTGTTACGGGACCCGTGGGAGTTCCCAGCCCCGAGCGCCTTCGCCAGAACGCAGACCGCGGAAGGCATGCTTCCTCGGAGGCTGGCGGTGCAGGGGCTGGTTTAGGCGGATGCGCATCTTCCGAGGTCTCTGGGCCTGGTACTCTCTTTAACCTTGGGACCTGGTGGAGCGGAAGTGAGGCAAGAAAAAGAAACCTTGACCCCGCTGACATCCCAGAGATCAGATCCTGTTTTACTTCATTGTGAGGAAACCACTTACCATTTACTCTTTTAGCCATTTTTTTTAATGTTCTTATAGCTTTTGGGAGAGGGAGAGGAAGAGAGAGGGAGAGGGAGAGAGAGAAAGAGAGAGGAGAGAAACATTGATGAGAGAGAATCATGGATCAGCTGCCTCCTGCACGACCCCTACTGGGGACTCAGCCTGCAACCTGGCACGTGCCCTCTTTGGGGATCAAACCAGTGGCCTCTTGGTTCATGGGACGATACTCAACCACTGAGCCACATGGACTGGGCTAGCCAATTTTTAAGTGTTTATTATTGTTGACTGTTCATAGTCTCTTAAATATCCTCTATCATTAGTTTTTTTTATGGGTCCTAATTTTGGAAAAGAAACGTTTAGTTTGTCTTGTCAGACAGCGTCTTCTTTAACAGCTCTGTTCCCTAAGAGGAATATGGAACTTAAACCCAGCGATGCAGCACCTGCTCGTTTTCCAAAGGCTTGTCTGGAATGAGGAGGAGTGTGTCTGGTATGACCTTACTCTGATCGGTACCAGGCAGGGCTGTCCAGGGGGCACCTGGGAACTCTGCTATCATCTAACTGATCTCAGTCAATGGTTGGGAGGGCCTAGGATGAGAAAGGCCTCCAAGGTACAGTTTCCCAGCTCCTATGCACTCAACAAATATTTTGGAAGTCTTCTCTCGCCCGAGGCGTGGTTCCTAGGGCTGGGCTGCTGGGTGAAGAACACAGATGGCTCATGGGGCTCATGGGTTAGCACGTTAGCATTCCTCTCCGATCCTTCTGTCCTGGAGGCGGGTCTGTCCCTGTCCTAGTTTCCTCCTGTTTGCAGAAGAGGGTAGCAAGGTATTCACTGGTAGGTCCAAGCATCTCCTTTCAGGCACATAGGAAAGCTGTAGAGGCAAGGAAACTTAAAAAGAAAAAAGGCTTGAGGCTTTTCGATAAATAAAAATATATAATGGTAATGTTCACGTACGAAATAGTCAAGCCTCACAAAGAATTTTGTGAGTTTATTTGAGCCAAACTGTCGACAATTGCCGGGAAGCAGAATCTCAACATATTGAGATACTGCTCTGGAAAATGGTGATTTTTTCACCTATTTTTATACATTACCATCCAAGGCGTAGACGGAGGTGGGTTACATGAAACCGTTGGTGATAGATTAGGGCGGTGGGAGAAAGCAAAGGGGTTGGGAGGGACCTCTGAGATTGGATAAAAAGTAAAATGATAAGACACTCACTTCCTTTACTTGGGTGGGTACAGGATAGTTCATAGTCAACAATGAACAGGATCACAATAACAATGGGGGAGTTTGTGGTCTCTGCCTTGTGCCCTGACACATTGGTTGTACCCTGGGGGGTCCGGGAAAAGGGACATTACCCTGACATTCCAAAGGCATGTTACCATAGATGCAGAAAGACAATAGGCTCAGTTAAGATCAAAGTTGATCTTTGTCAGGGAAGATACTGGCCTAGGACATGACTACCCACCATAGGCTGCTTTTTAATTTAAAAAGTTTAATTTCAAACCCTCCCCTGTGGTCACTTGAGGTCTCTGAGTTTGCAAGGCCGCCACGCAGGCCTCCCCTGAGTTAGTCAGGCTAGCAGGTGGCCCCTGTTTGTCCACCGTCAGCAGCAGGTAAAATGTGAGTGTCCAAACCCCTTGAGACCATTGACATGCATGAATAAAGGTCTAGTCTATTTCTGCTCTCTCAAAAGGAGGAGAAAAACAGTCATGCATTGCTCTAAGCCTCACGCATTAGAAAAGAAAATGCCAAACTAAGAGGGGTCGCTAGGAGATGATCCAGAGGATCCAGATCTGGAAACAACCCCCTTCTGCCTGCCCCTCCCCCAAGATCGTGAAGAAAGGACCGTTAGGAAAGAAAGGCTAGTCTCCGGAGGATGGGGTGAAAAAGGAGGGAGTTGGGCTTAAAACGCTTGCTGAGCTTTAGCTTTAAAGGCGGTCTCAGAGCGCTGACTTTCCAAATTAGGAAACTGAGGAATAGGAGAATCAGGTCACAGCTGCCTGTGGCCGCCGGGAGCTGGGACAGAGGTCTCTGGATTCCTGCTCCGTGCTCACCTGCCCCTCCCACTGTGCCTGACGGGGTTGGTCCAGGGGCACGAACAAGCAGCGAGTGCCCGCGAGGTGCCAAACCCTGACTCACACACCGGAAACCGGGTAAATAAGGTGGATCCATACCTCAGGGAGGAAGCTACGTGTCTGGATGAGATGACAGATACCGAGGCGGGCGGTCACGGCTGGTATGAGACGTCCTGTGCCGTAGGACGGCCGAGGTTGATTAGGTGGCCTCTGCAGGTTCCCCACACTCTCAGGTCCTATGGGACTCGGGACTCCTCTACAACCAATTCATACATATAACATTTCCTTCAAAACAGAGAAGCACCCAGAAGGGGAGCAGAGGATAAAATAGCTTTTTTTCCCCTCTGAAATGTTATTCTAAATCTGAAAGGTGGCTTTCAAAACGTTTCCTTGCCTGGGTTACAAATTAGGACGAGTTTGAGCTCATGGCTAGACTCCGTGTGGATGGCGAGCCGTTAGACCATGGAAACCCTTACTCAGGAAGCAAGAGGTAAAGACTCTGTAAACATCCATCCTGTGCAGCAGCGAGGAGAACGCGTGGCCCTGGAGCTGCTAAATGTCGCTCAGGGTGTGGCCAGGGCCCGTCTGGCTGTGGCCCAGGAACTCACCGCCTTAGGCCAGTAGAGCTTAGCAGGTGGGTCTGACGGTGAGAATATCGTCAAGAGCCTCACCCCTCTCCCGCCTCCTCCTGCTCCTCCGCCCAGCTTGCTGGTTGCTGATCATGGCAGACAGAGTCCCAGCAAAGGGAGGATGGGAGGCAAATGCATGAGATCCAGACAGATCCCGCCGGCTGCCATTCCCCCACCCAGTGCCAGCACGTCCCCGAGGGGTTAGAGGAGCTGAGGGCGGGACTTAGTCTTTATAAACCACACACAGGGCCTGGCCGTCCACGTCCCTTCCTCTTCAAGCCTGTGCTCTTCCTCTTCTCAAAGCAATGCCAGGCGTCCGTGTTTATCATCAGCTTCCTTTCATGAAGTCGGGCTTCCCTTGGCCCCCTGTCCCCTCCCTCTGCCTTGTCATTGGCGCCCCGGGCGCACCCACAGCCACGGCCCGCTGGTCTCGGTGCCATGGAGGGCCCAGCTGGTGGTTCCAGTTGCCAAGTGCGCATCTCAGAGCCGATGAACTGAGTAATCGCTCGCTCTGAGCCTCATCGTTGCCAGCCCACTTTTTAAAGTTTCTTTTATTAGTCTGCATTTCGCACTCTGAAAATTACAAAAAAAAATCAGTGCATCCTAGAGGCCCTCCTGGCTCCCTCCCTGACGTCTCCTAGCAGAGCAGCGCGGCTAAACAGCCTGTTCCCACGTCCTTCTTCGCGGTTTATTTACGCATGAACGTGACCCCTAGGTTTTGTTTTTAAGCAATCCCCTGGTTAGCAACGCAGAAATATGACACATGACATGTTTGCAAAAGAATCGTCTGCTGTGTGTCATAATTTTTAAAAGCTCAAAGGCAGATGAAGAAATGAGAATGTGAGAAAAATGTCCATGAGGAAAATAGGCCTGAGAAATGGTGTTTCTGTAGGGCTTGTAAGAATAAAACAGTTTAGTACAGTGATGGCGAACCTTTTGAGCTCGGCGTGTCAGCATTTTCAAAAACCCTAACTTAACTCTGGTGCCGTGTCTCATATAGAAATTGTTTGGTATTTGCAACCATAGTAAAACAAAGACTTATATTTTTGATATTTATTTTATATATTTAAATGCCACTTAACAAAGAAAAATCAACCAAAAAAATGAGTTCGCGTGTCACCTCTGACACGCGTGTCATAGTTTCACCATCACTGGTTTAGTACAAGAATCTCCGTCTCTTTAGAGAGTGGAACGATCGCCCTGTAGTAAAATACTCGGTAAGTACGTTGTCAATGTAATTCTCTCGTGAAGTGCTGTTCTGTGGCGTTTTCACAGGTCACCCGCTGTCCGGCCCAGTGCGGGGCAGCTCTGGTCATTAGAACATTTCTTCCTTCCATAGAGTTGAAATCTGGTCATTTTTCCCGATTGATTTAACTCTGTTTTCTAAAGACACAAAGAACAAATCTCATTCTTTGCTCGAAAATTAATAATAATCTGCCTTAAACATCCAATTTAAAATTCTAAAGGACATACAAGTCCAATTATAAAGAAGAAAATAATTAAACATGAAAAATTGTCCACATTCACTTTTAATCAAACAAATGCAAATTACCATCCCAGCAAGTTACTATGATTAGATTATGGTTAGCATCTATTCATTCGCCCACAATTGAAGTAATACCAATGACACATAGTGTTTGGGAGAGTTTGATGAAACTTCTCTCCTTTGATTGTTCATGGAGTTAATTAGTACAAATTTTCTGGAAATAATTTGCCAAACACTGTAAGAACCATTAAAAACTTGGTCCAGGAATCTATTCCTTGAAATTTATCATTAAAAAATGTTAATGAAGAAAGAAATTAAGTTTTAAAAGATGTCTTTCCAGGCTTAAGTATAATACCAAAAAATTAAGCCCACCTAACACCCACTATTCCATCGGGGAAGAAACCTGTGTAATAATGTAAGTCTTTTATGCTTTAACTCAGAGAAACCGGCTTCAAGCATTTAAAGTTACAATTTAAAACATAGGCCACAGCACAGAAAAGTCTTGCATTTGCTATGATTCCAACTCCGTGAAACTATTACTTCCTCCAGCTCAGAGACGCATGTCCAGATGAACTAGCATTGATGCATTACAAAGTGGCACATTGCAATTTTGAGGCTCTTTTGTGAATGTTTTTCTTTTTTCCTGTCACCGTTGTTATGTTATTTGTGCCTTTAAACGGTGGGAAATGGAGGTGCGGGAGCACCTTTGGAGGACAAAGGTGCTTCGAGCATCAGAGAGCCCTCCAAGCTTCTACCCACACGGCGTGTCTGCGTGTCCGTGCGCATACTGACTGCCAAGTCCGTGTGAAAATGTGAGATGATGCTGCCCCCGCTGAGATGGGCCTCGGTGCTCTGGGTGCAGACCCGGGGGGAGAGCATGCATCTGGCCTCTCTCTGCCAGGCTATGCGGTGAACTCGGCCACCGTCCCCGGGGGAGACGTGCTGTACATCGCGGGCCAGCCCCGCTACAACCACACCGGGCAGGTCATCGTCTACAGGATGGAGGGCGGGGACGTCAGGATCCTGCAGGCGCTCCGGGGAGAGCAGGTGAGCGAGAAGTTATGGCTGTAAGTCCCCCGTCCACACTCTGGGCAGACTCCACTTAGCTGCCTGCTGTCCGCAGCTTCAGCAACACGGGAGCCTCATTCCACCTCAGCTGAGACCGGCCTGGGCTGGGCTCTCGGAGGCATGGAAAGTGAGTTTGGCCTCGGGCTATGTCCCTGGGATGGAGGCGGAGCTGGGATGAGTAGGTGATAGATGCGGATGCGGGGGTACAAATACACGTACAGAGAGAGAGCAGGCAGCTTAGGAAGAAGGCGGCAGAGCACAGACAGGACGTGCGGGAGGTGGAAGGATGGCTTTGAGCGCGGACTGGTGCGGAAGGTCTTCGTGAGAGACAGCGCCTGGGCAGGTGAGAAGGTAGACGGTGGCAGGCGCCGTGGGGGGCCAGGCAGGGAGAGCAGCCCCGTGGTGGGAGGAACTGAGTGACAGGCACCCCCCCAAAGTCCTGGGGGCCGCTCAGCGCCGCGCCCCCAGGGGTCTCCCCGCAGCCCAGCGCACAGTGCAGCTCAGGTGTCGCCAGCAGACCCCGCAGCGAGGAGCCAGCGTCCGCCACAGGCCAGGGCCATGGCTGGCGGGTCCCTGCTGGGGCGCAGGCTCCTCTGCCGCCGGCCCAGGCGCACGCAGGAGGCACCAATCCATGCGTTTCTCTCACATCCATGTTTCTCTCTGTCTCTCCCTCTCTCTTCCACTCTCTCTAAAAAAGAAAAAACAATAAATAAATAAATAAATAAATAAATAAATAAATAAATAAAGAGAGAACATACTGCTGCAAGGGGCGGGGGGTCCCCGCACCCTGTCCCCCGCAGCGGCTGGGACTAGACCACGCCCTGAGCTGGGAGACAGTGTCTGAGACTCACCTGTGAAATCGCTGCCCCAGATCCCACCCCGTCCAGCCCCTCCTGCGGCCTCGGGGCGTGTGTGCACACCGTGGCCTCTCAGCATGCACTGGCCCCCGTCCGAACGCCTTCCATTGTTTACCTCATGGCGTTTCTTTTTTAAAAAACAATCTTTGCAGTGTCACTGGTCTTGTCCGACCTGGAGAAGCACGAGGTTGGGGAGAAAGCCAAAGGAAGCCCTTTCTCGGAAGCTACGGAATCTGTAGCAGCCGCCCCCCTCCCCCTTCTGTCCCCCCTCCCCCTCTGGGGGCCCTGCTAGTCAGTGGTCTGGGCAGAGCTGAGAGCCCAGAGGCGCTCCCGATCACCCCGTTTCTGCGGCTCATCCCCTGCGCCCTCTGACCTCACGCACGGTCAGATGGTGAGAGCCAGAAAGACAGGCACCGCTTCCCCAGTGCCCGGTGCGCCTCACACGGCTGCTCTGTGCTGTGTGCCCAGATCGGCTCCTACTTCGGCAGCGTGTTGACCACCGTGGACATCGACAAAGATTCCCACACGGACGTGCTCCTGGTCGGGGCGCCCATGTTCATGGGGGCCGAGAAGGAGGAGCAGGGGAAGGTGTACGTGTACGCCCTGAACCAGGTACCGGGACGGGGTCTGGGGAGAGTGGGACAACCTCTTCCTTTCTTTCCATTTCAAACAGATCATGTGGCGCTGCTTTCGCACTCAGGTCTGGAAAAGGAGCAAAAACAGTGTCAGGGCCCGCGGCCCCTCTTCTCCAAAGGAAGGTTTACAGTCCTTATAAAGGTGTTCACACCGCTAGGCGTTTCCTGCTTCGGAATGTGAACTATTCTTTTCAAACAGAATATATAGGATGGAGATACATACATAGCTCACAGGCAGCCATTCATGAGCTCTGGCCTGGAGGTGTGGGGGGCCTGGAGGTGTGGGGGACTGGAGGTGTGGGGGGCCTGGAGGTGTGGGGGGCCTGGGGGTGTGGGGGGCCTGGGGGTGTGGGGGGCCTGGGGGTGTGGGTGGCCTGGGGGTGTGGGGGGCCTGGAGGTGTGGGGGGCCTGGGGGTGTGGGGGGCCTGGGGGTGTGGGTGGCCTGGAGGTGTGGGGGGCCTGGAGGTGTGGGGGGCCTGGGGGTGTGGGGGGCCTGGGGGTGTGGGTCGCTTGGGGGTGTGGGGGGCCTGGGGGTGTGGGGGGCCTGGGGGTGTGGGTGGCCTGGAGGTGTGGGGGGCCTGGAGGTGTGAGTGGCCTGGGGGTGTGGGTCGCTTGCGGGGGAGGGGAGGGGGAGGTGTCAGGAATTTCAGGCAATGACATCAAATCTTTGTAGTGAACAAGCTGAATGTGTGGTCTTTGGAAAATCTCGCTGGGCTGAAGTGAGATTCTGACTTTAGACACTATTTGTAGGTGAAATAACTATTGATTGATTTATTAGAAAAGTTATTTTTGTTGTTGTTTTGTTTGTTTTGCTGCTTACAGCAAGTCAGTATTTATTTATTTGGTTTTTTAAATTTTCAGAGTCTCTTCATATTAATTATTTAATTCACAAATTATTTATTTTCCTTTCTATCATTTTTTCTTTCTTTCTTCTGCCAATGTTTTGGGATCCTATCCTGTTTTTCCCAAGAAAGTATGTTCCTTTCTGCCCGTTGCTGCTCGTTCGCTGGGCCGTTACGGAGTTTTTGGCTTTTTCACTCTGGAGAGGTTTGGGGAAAGCTTGCTTTTGAACAGAGGGGGTCCTCTATGAGGGGGAATCTATGGAGACTTTTCAAAGGAGCTCAATATTGGGAGGAGAAAGGGTGGGACATGGATGGAGGATTTCAAAAGTCAGTTCTTTGGCTTTAAGAACACACACTGGGCGATCCCCTCACCCTTTTGCATTAAGAGGACCCACTAAAACCCTCAGCCGGCTTCTTCCCCACCGTCTACACTCGGCTCTCAGGCTGGGTTGTAAGAAATCTTACAGCCTGCACGGTGGATGCTCACATGGTGTTTCCTGGCGGCGCTTTCCTGTGCACCCCCCCACCCCCGGGCCCCTGCAGAAACCGTCCTGTCCCTGTGTCCTTTCCTGTGCACCCCCCCCCCCCCGTGGCCCCTGCAGAAACCGTCCTGTCCCTGTGTCCTTTCCTGTGCACCCCCCCCCCCCGTGGCCCCTGCAGAAACCGTCCTGTCCCTGTGTCCCCTCCAGACGAGGTTTGAGTATCAGATGAGCCTGGAGCCCGTGGCGCAGACCTGCTGCTCGTCCCTGAAGCACGCCGCGTGCACCAAGAAGAACAAGAATGAGCCGTGCGGGGCCCGCTTCGGCACGGCCATCGCGGCCGTGAGGGACCTCAACCTGGACGGCTTCAACGACGTGGTGATCGGCGCGCCCCTGGAGGACGACCACGGGGGCGCCGTGTACATCTTCCACGGGCGCGGCCGGTCGCTGCGGAAGCAGCACGCGCAGGTGGGTCCCCCAGCCCCTCCCGCTCGATGCCCCGGTCGTGCCAGGCCCCACCTGTCCAGCTTCAGGACTTGCTTGGTTTCTTTCTTCTGACTCCTGGGCAATGAGATTTCTCATTCTCTTCGGAGTTACCTTTTTTTATTGTTGTTATTGATGTCAGAGAGGAAGGGAGAGGGAGAGAAACGTTGATGATGAGAGAGGACCATGGATCGGCTGCCTCCTGCCCGCCCCACACTGGGGAGCGAGCCCGAAACCTGGGCCTGTGCCCTGACCGGGAATCGAAGCAGGACCTCCCGGTTCCTAGGCTGACGCTCAACCACTGAGCCACACCGGCCCGGCTCCTAAGTCATCTTTATAGAAGGATTACTTTGTATTTCATCCTTTTATCTAGTTTTTTGTGTGTGTTATTTGCCACTCTCCATAATCTGATCTTTTAAATGGTACAAAACAAAAAAAGCACAAACCGAAAAAAGAGCACTTTTAAAAAGTATATGTTTTTGTTGATTTTAGAGAGAGAGGAAGGGAGTAGGGTAGAGAGATAGAACATTGATGAGAGAGATCAATCGGCTGCCTCCTGCATGCCCACCACCGGGGACCGAACCCGCAACTCTGATATGTGCTCTGACCGGGAATCGAACCAGTGTCCTCTTGGTTCATGGGTTGATACTCACCCACTGAGCCACACCAGCCGGGCAAAAGAGTACGTTTTAGCACTGCTACTTACCACCCTCAGTGTGCCTGGTCCCCAGAGGGCACCGCTTTCCGAAGGAGAGATGGCAAATCTGGGACTTTTCCGTTGGAAATGGGAGGATGAGGGCGTCCCCAAGTTTAGGGAGGGTCCGTCTGTCCTGTCTCCTTACCATCGGGTTCTATCAGAGCTGAGTCAGGAGTGCAGGTGGCAAATGTTACGTGTGGGGACGCGCACAAGTCAGCCTTAGAGGACGCTCCGCCTTCGTCTGTGGCCTCCCCAGGCGGTGGGCACGTGTGAGGGGAGTGAGTCTATGGTGAAGGAGGCGGCAGGCGGAGAGTGTGTTTGGAGGAATGTGCCCTTGGTCCCCGGCCCCAAGTTTAGTGAACACACCGACCCTGACACCGGTCCCTCTCCAGGCTGCTCAAGTGATGCGTTTTCAAGGTTCCCGCGCCTTCCAGCTCCCCGGGGCGGCGGGATTGGAAGCAGCTACAGCGGAGCCCATCGCAGTGTTTCCTTGGGGTCAGACAGGACGAGGTTCTGTCACTCCCCTCGCTCTAGGGTCAGGACCCCGAGGTGACCGCGAAGTGACCGCGCTGTAGGAAGCACGTCCTCGGGGAGCACCTGAGAGAGGTCCCCATGAGGCCGCTGGGGCAGGTGTCCGCAGCTCCTGCAGGGGGATGTGGGTTAACCCGCCCCGTCCTTTTCGAAGAGGCTCTTCTGACGTAATGCCTCTCGCCGGGGTTTCCGCAGCGCATCCCGTCGGGTGGAGACGGCCAGACCCTGAAGTTCTTCGGCCAGTCCATCCACGGGGAGATGGACCTGAACGGCGACGGCCTCACCGACGTGACCATCGGCGGCCTGGGCGGCGCCGCCCTCTTCTGGTGCGTATCCGAACCCGCCCACCGAGTCCGCTACTTCACACAGAGTTCCAGCGCTGAGGGGATCGGGCGAACATCAGACCAAGTGTTCATTTCCCTCTGCGCTCCATCACTCAGATAAAAATACGCAATTTCTTAGGCTGCAGAAGTCAATAATCATATTAAAGGAACAAGTAGAATCAGCCCTGGATTTGCTCAGCCTTTAAAATGCCTGCATCCCCAAAGCAATTAACTGTAGAACCTAGTTTGTGGTCAGGTACACATATTAGTGTCATTGTATTTATTACTAAAATAACTTATTAATCAATAGCATTAAGAACCCTAGCTTTTTTTTAGTTAAAAACAATTTCAAAAAGGATTCTATTTGAAAAAAAAACTGGTTAAAATATATGAAGAATAACATTAATGAGAATTTTGTATGAAAATTTTTAAAAAGACTTTATTAAGAAATACAAAGGAAAGATTTGATGAATAAAATTATACTTAGGATATGAGCCTTGATGGAAAGTTCACAGGTTGGTTCTGCCACAGTGACCACTGGCTTAATGCAGGTGGAAGCAAACCGCGATGGCATTTCCCCCACAATGTACCAGAAGAGCCGTAAAGAAAACTGAGAAAGACCCAGTGAAGATGGAGACCTAAAAGTCATGGCTTTGTCGTAATTTAAGATACAACTAATGGTCAAATGAAAAGCCTATACTAAACCACACACAGATAATAACCATTACGTTAAGAAATGTTTTAGCCATACATGTCACTACATATACAGTTACTATGCATATAACTATATACAGGTGCTAGGCATATAACCATGTATAGTTGTTGTACATAGAACTATATACAGGTGCTTGGCATATAACCATGTATAGTTGTTGCACATAGAACTATACACAGGTGCTAGGTATATAACCGTGTACAGTTGTTATACATAGAACTATACACAGGTGCTAGCCATAGAACTATGTATAGTTGTTATACATAGAACTATATACAGGTGCTAGGCATATAACCATGTATAGTTGTTCTACATAGAACTATATGCAGTTGTTGTACATAGAACTATGCACAGATGCTAGCCATAGAACTATGTACAGTTGTTACACATAGAACTATGCACAGGTGCTAGGCATATAACCATGTACAGTTGTTGTACGTAGAACTATGTGCAGTTGTTACACATAGAACTATGCACAGGTGTGATGCACATCACTATGTGATGCACATCATAGTCTAAGGTGACAGTGATGTATAACCAGAGAGGAGAGTAACCTGAAAGGCGGTGCCTGGGGTGGGGCTGGGGGTGGGGGGCGCAGGCTGGGCCGCCAGAGGCTGTGCCCTTGGGCAAGCTCCCTAAAGCCAGTCACCCGCATGGGAGCAGAGTGGACATACATTTCATATTCATTTGAGCTGTTGGTGCTGAATTAAGTGAGCATATGGCCCTCATGGAGAGGGGGAGACACGGGGAAAGTGAGGCGTTCCCGGGGCTCAGAGTCCAGGCGAAATGCCCGGCAGCAGGGAGAGGTTGGCCCCTTCGGGAGGAAGTGGGAGAGCAGCTGGAGTGGGTGTTTGTGGCGAGGCTCCCTGGTCGTGCTGGGCGCCCTGTCCCCTCTCCCGGGCGAGCCCCTGTTCCTGCTTGTGAGGTCCAGGAGGGGGTTTATGACGGTGGTGCCCAGACAGGTGAGGGTGAGGGAAAGCCCGCCCTGCCTGTGCTGCTTCCCACGGGCCTGCAGCTCAAAGAATCAGCCAGTCACGGGGCATGTGTGGGTGGCGTGCCCTGAGCTCCCCAGGTCAGATTTCGGGCCAGCATCTCCTGCCCTTGACAGACAAAGCCCAGGACGGTGCCCAAGCCACCCACGTGTCCTCGGAGCATCAGCCGCCGTCTGGTCTGGACCAGGTTCTGCAGGGAAGCGGAGCTGTGGGGTCCTGGGGTCCACGGAGAGCCACCCCGATGCTCTCTGAATCCCCGCGTGGTGGCGTCCGTCACCCGTGAGGACGTGGGAGTGATCCCTGTGGTCTGTGTCTTTCCAGGGCCCGAGACGTGGCTGTGGTTAAAGTGACTATGAACTTTGAACCGAATAAAGTGAATATTCAGAAGAAGAACTGCCGCATGGAGGGGAAGGAAACCGTGTGCATCAACGCGACCGTGTGCTTCCATGTGAAACTGAAGTCCAAGGAAGACGCGGTCTACGAGGCTGGTGAGCCCGTGCACACGGCAGGTGCTGGGGGCGGGGGGGGGGGGGGGGGGGACGGCGGGCAGCGCTGGGTCCAGCATAAAGGCTTCAGCCAGGCGCGGGGTTCCCCTGGGCAGGGATCTGCATAGCCCGGGTGCCCCTGGGAACATGTGGGCCCTGAAAAAACCTGCCAAAGGAACCCCCAAAATCTGGAGCAGGCACTCTACATGATGGCCTCACCATCCCAGGGTTCCCCAGTAGCTCTGCACTTCCTGTAGACAATCAGGTGTTTAAAAAATAAAGCAAATAAACAGGAGAGAGGGAGGGAGGGGGGGGGAGGGAGGGAGAGAGAGAGAGAGATAGAGATAGAGATAGAGATAGAGATAGAGATAGAGATATTAGCCCAGTCCTGTGGGTTTGCCCTAAAAGGCCTCCCTTCCGCTCCTACCCTCTGCCGGTGGGACTGGGGTTGCAGAGGATGAAGAGCTGTGCCACCTGCTCCCCAGAGCCCTTGGCTCCACTGGGGTGACCCTGGCTGCTGAGAGTCAGACATTCGGGGACACCCCTGCAGCCCGGTCTCCGCCTCCCCACACACAGTACTCTCTGAGGCTTTTAAAAATGACACTGAAATGCGTTCAGTCATTTGGTTGTCTCTCACTAACGGCCTGATCGCCCCACACAGCCTGCTTGTTCAGTCGTTTGGTCATCCCTCACTAAGCCCCCTGCCAACCTGGTCATAGGCAGCCATCTTGTGAGGGCGTGAGGGTTAATTTGCATATTACCTCTTTATTTATATAGAATAACATAATCAATATTCTAAGCAAGTAAATCCAATAAGCACAGACATGGTCAGCAAGTTAGGTGACATGGAAGTGAGTGTGTGTGTGTACATAAATATCCTATATAATAAATAGGTAATATGCAAATTGACCATCACACCCTCACAAATGGTTGCCTACAACCAGGCCAGCAGGGGGATTAGTGAGGGACAGCCAAATGACTGAACAGCAGGCTGCGTGGAGTGACCAGGAGGGCAGTTGGGGGCAACCAGGCCAGCAGGGGGCGTAGTTGGGGGTGATTAGGCTGGTAGGGGGGACAGTGAGGGGTGACTAGGCTGGTGCGGGAGGGCAGTTGGGGGCAACCAGGCCAGCAGGGATTGTTTAGGGGTGATCAGGCAGGCAGGCAGAAGTGGTTAGGGTCAATCAGGCAGGCAGACAGGCGAATGGTTGGGAGCCAGCAGTCCCGGATTGTGAGAGGGATGTCCCACAGGGATCGGGCCTAAACTGGCAGTCAGACATCCCCTGAGGGGTCCCAGATTGGAGAGGGTGCAGGCTGGGCTGAGAGGACCCCCCCCCTCCATGCACAAATTTCATGCACCGGGCCTCAGTTATAGAATAAGTGTGATTAAAAACATTAAAAGTATAGTGAACACACAGATCAATTCTATGAGTTCCTCAAGTAATCTTCATCGTGCTAGGTAGTGGGATATACTGGGTGACAGGGGCTTTCTGGTGACTGATTGCCCTGAGGGCTTCCTGCCGTGCTCACTGAATGAGCCGGGTCCTGTGGAAGTCAGCCCCTCCTCTGTCCCCTGTGCACAGACCTGCAGTACCGCGTCACCCTGGACTCGCTGAGGCAGATCTCACGCAGTTTCTTCTCCGGGACCCAGGAGAGGAAGGCCCAGAGGAACATCACCGTGCGCGAGTCAAAGTGCGCCCAGCACTTCTTCTACATGTTGGCAAGTAAATCATAGCGTGTCGCGGCCCATTCCGCGTCCGGGATAAAGCATAGGTGTCTGACTCCAGGTCAGCCACATCCCCCTGTTTCCCTTCAAAGGGCACATCAGGAATAAGCTTTGTTCTGTTTGTTCACTTACATCAGAAAGTCCCAGGTACAATCTGCTAATGTCCAAGTACAATTGATAAAGCCGTCTTTCATCTCCCCTGAACGTGGGACAGGCAGCCATGTCGTATGTAAATATTTCTCTCTTTTCTGTGTCCAGCGCGGCTAGAGAGCGGTCCGGTTCCTGAGTAGGAGCTACTGGGGATTGAGAAAATGAAAGAAAGAGACAGACACAGAGATAGAAGGAAAAAGCTGGGGCCGGGTGGGACAGCCATCCTCTGATGGAGAGACAGGGACCCAGAGCCGATACAGCGAGTTTACTTTATACGGCAAAATACCAGGGAGTTTTACTAAAGCCCAAGACAAAGGAGATGATGTGCATTCTTGTGGCTTCTCTGTCATCGTCACTTCTGGGTGGGCCTGGATAATCCTGTTTGTTCCTGGTGCTTGGCTGGATTTAGATAATGAAACCCACCCCCTGGGGCCTGAGCTGAAGGTGAGACTGACAACACACCTGCCTCTGGCCAGGTATGTTTCCAGGGCATGGCTCTGCCAACACTACTGGATTCAGCTGACAATAATTAAAGAAATGCTCATGTGCCTTCCCAGGTGCTCTCCTCAGTCGTATGGAGCAGTAATAGGCACAGTACATGGGTCAGTAGGATGTCTGTCTCTTCATTCCTTCATTCCTCCCTCTCTTCCCTCCCTTCCTTCCTTCATTCCTTCCTTTCTTCCTTCCCTCCCTCCCTTCCTCCCTTCCTCCCTTCCTTCCTTCCTTCCTTCCTTCCTTCCTTCCAACTTGAAAACACATACCTTCTATTGGCCTTGTCTGTCGAATGTGGATGGCAAGTGATGAATGCGCTGAGGGGACCGCTGGGCCAGTGCTTCCTGAGGTCACTGCTTGTCCCGAACTATGACTTTCATCCTTTGACGTGAACTGGAAGGGGAAATACTGGTGTTTTTTGTCCTCTGTAGGCTTTGTGCTGCCCAAGTCTCTTTCTACTGTAGCGGAGGGGGAGGCCGTGGAAAGCACGTTATTAATCTCTAGAAACAGCTGGCCAGCTAGTGTGAACCATTTCAAATGTGTTTTCTTGGGTCGTCATTTATGCAGGGAGCATTCCCAACGAAGGGCAAGAGTTTTTGAAATTTTTTTTTAAAAAAAAAACACAGTGCAGAATGGATGCAATGAGAAAGCACTGTTTTTAGTAACCGATATTGAAACATAGAGACTTTTCCTCCGTGATTTTCATGTCAACACTCCCTAGGACATATATCAAGTCAGCGTATTCCGTCAATACTAAGATCCATCCATGACTGGGAGGCCACGCCTGGCCCTTGCATGGCTCCACCAGGGCGAACACTGGGAGCTGGGGCTTAGATGCGATGGGGAGGCGTGAGGCCAGGTGAGGAGCCGCTTCCAACCCACTGAGAGTGGCAGTCGTGTGTGTTTCTCCAAAATGCAGTGTCTAGCAGTGGCGCTAAAAGGCATGAACTAGTTCCCTGATTTCTGAAATTCTTGAGGATCTCAGTGGGTGCTCGGACATTTGTTCTGGACTCAGCCAGGACGGAATTTGTATCCGTGTAATTCGGGCAAAGTTGTTTAGTGCCTAAGAGGTTCGGTTTTTCATCTGTAAAATAGTGGCCAATGTGTATAAAGCTCATCATTGTGGACAGGCCGTAAATGATGTTGCTACTGATGGGAGTCTAAACAGTATTGATCGTGTGAGCACTATTTCCTTGTCAGTCACATCGTACAATTCCTACAATTCGAGGTACATAGGATACTAATGAAATGCAACCCAATTTAAAAGGAGTTTGCTGTTCTGTTTTGGGGAGACTTTCCTAGAAGTGTTATATAGTGGCTTCTAGCTCAAGGTCACAAGAGGAATGGCATTGTTATGGAAGTAGCTCTAAGGGGTAGGTCCCACATGGTGAGGTTCAACATGCCCACAGGCCCCTCTGAGGTAGGGGAGCAGCTGGTCACCACCGAGGCCTCTGCCTGCCAGCTGTGGCCCCGTCCAGGCTGAGGGCGCCCGTCTCCAGCAAAGCAACCTGATGAGGACAGGGACAGGAGGACATCCCGTGAGGCTGGTCCCACGCAGGAGAAGCCGCCATAACAAGGTCAGGACACCCAGGAGATTCGATACCAATGATCTGTTTTATGTTTCAACCTCCAGGACAAGCATGACTTTCGGGACTCTGTGAGAATAACCCTGGACTTCAATCTTTCCGATCCGGAAAATGGGCCCATTCTTGATGATTCTCTGCCAAACTCAGTACATGAATCTGTAAGTCGTTTTTTAAAAATTTGGAATACCTACTTGTGAATATATTAAGGAAAAACTTGAAATGGAAAAAACAGACACACACACACACACACACACACACACACACACACAATTGATTATAGGGTTATATGTATGTGTGCCCGGCAAGGTACACTGTATTCCATCGTTCTAGCACAAGCATGTCAAACTTGCGGCCCACGGGCTGCATGCCTCATTTATTTGGCTCGTGCTAGCCTTTGAGTTTGACATGCTTGTTCTAGCAGGTGCCTATACACACACACCAAAAAAACAACAATACCTAAATCAATTATGTTTTTTAAAAAATCTAGACTTCTGTAGATTATTCCCAACTTGTTAGAACTTTCTCTTGTTGGAGATTAAGGGAATTATATGACACCTGTTTTTACCTCCTGAGTTCAGGACAAATTGAAAGAAAGACATGGGTTGGCCAGTTGGAGCTCCCTTTTATGACGAATGAACATTAAAACACTTGACGTAGGGCCTTTGAAACTATTCTGGTCTGATGGGTGTTCTCCTACTAAATGGACTTAGGCCACAGGTAACCAGAGGGTCACCCCCCGCTCAGCAATGGCGGCCTTCTTCCTGGGCCCCTCGTAACACGTGCAGGATGGAGGCTGGAGCTGAGAGCCTGCTTCCCACGGGCGCGCCACGCCCCAGACAGGAGGTGGGGAGGCGCTGACCTGTGTCCACCCAGGTCCCGGCCCCCAGGTTCACAGTCCCCGGCCCCACCCGGAGAAAGAGCAAGTGCAGGAGGGGTTCCCAGGGGGGCCAAGCAGAGAACACTGGGGACAGGGCCTTGGTTCCCCCCCTTCCCCCCTTGGGTTCCTGTCTTCACTCTCCTCCCTCCAAATCTATTGACTGAGTGTCGCACACGCACCAGGCTCAGAAACAAGAGGGAGGGGTCAGCAGAGTGTGTGCCATGGAGGGACTTCTGCCTGGTTTGGGGGGTCAGGGCACTCCCCAGAGTTGAGAGCTGTGGGACAGGATATCCGTCCTGTCCAGGCGAGTGAGGGAGTGGCGTTCTGGGCAGAGGGGACATGTGCAGAGGTCCTGGGGCCCCGAGAGAACTACACTGACCTCGGCCCTGACCTGCAGCTGCAGATGAAGGGCAGGGGGAGGGCCATGTGGGCGGAGGCAGGAGGCCCAGGTAGAGCCAGGTCATCGCACCTGTGTCCCCTCGGGGTGCCCAGCTGGGAAGCTGTTCGTTTAGTTCAGGGAGGAAATGAGGCTGGACCCGAGGGGGCCGAGGAGGGCGGGAAGGCGGGCGAGGACAAACTCCGGAGGTTGGGGAGGGCAGAAAGGACCGTCCTGGTGATGCACTGGACAGAGAGGAAGGGCTGTGTGAAGGGGGTCAGGAAAGCTCCCAGTTATATGGTGTGACCATTGCCCAGCCCCGACTGGACTCTGTTATCCTCCTAAGGACTTGGTTCTTTCTAACAGAGAATCTCACGGTCGCAGTTGAGTGTGAAACTGTGCTCTCCTAGATTTAGACCTCGGTGTACGTGGCTTGGTTTTATAAAACCATTCTACTCCAGCAGACGGAAGCCGGTGAAACTATCGGCGAACACTGCTTGTTTAAAGGTCGGGGAGTATTTATATCCAAAAGCAGAAGCTTCCCGCTTTCCCCTGCACATTCTAGGGACCAACAGAACATGCCTGTGGTTCTGCAGGAGCCTGCCCCCTGCAGGAGGGGGGATGCCTATGTCAGTATGTCATGCCCCTTAGTCAGGGGTGGTCCCTGATTCTGAAGGACACCCCGTGACCGTTTCAGATCCCCTTCGCCAAGGACTGTGGGAACAAGGACAAGTGCATCTCGGACGTCGCCCTGGACGTGTCCACGCTGGAGAAGGACCTGCTGATTGTCCGGTCCCACAACGACAAGTTCAACATCAGCCTCACTGTCAGAAACAAAGGGGACAGTGCCTACAACACCAGGACCATGGTGCACTACTCCCCAAACCTGGTTTTCTCGGGGATCGAGGTAACTTTCCGGTTCTTGTTCATTGATTCTCGGAACAATGATTAATTGAACCCCCTTTTCATACCGCTGAGCTGATTTTGTTTTTATCCTCGCCCGAGGGCATGTTTATTGATTTGAGAGCAAGAGAGAGAGAGAGAGCAGCGATGTGAGAGAGAAACATTGATCAGTTGCCTCCTGTAGGTGCCCTGACCAGGATCGCACCTGCAGCCTTTTGGTGTATAAGACAACACTCCAACCAACTGAGCCGCCTGGCCAGGGCTGAACTAATTCTCTCCATATATAAAAGGCTAACGTGAAAGTGTCCCCTGCAGAGTTCTACCAGGAACTGGGAGTTCGATCGCTCGCTATGACATGCGTTGACCACCAGTGGGTGGCAGGGAACATGGCGGGTGACAGCGGCAGCAGCGGGGTGCTGAGGGAGCAAGGGGAGGGTGAGGTGGGGAGGCAGGACAGAGGGGGAACCACATGGTGGTGGCGCACAGACAGGCAGGAGGGTGGTGAGGGAAGGAGGAGGTGGGGAGGTGGGGAGGTGGGGAACCTGATCGGCCCTGCTCATCAGCCAGGCCTAGGAACCCTACCCTGCATGAATTTCGTGCACTGGGCCTCTAGTTTTTATTATATTGATTTTATAAGGAAAGAAAGCATTTTGTATAAAATTAGTAGTCTCTACTGATAACAATGCCCACATTTTCTTTAGAGTTTTAGTTTAGATTGATTTTTTAGAGATGGGTGCCCACTCTGGGGCGCAATATGAGGAAGGGATCTCTGATGGATCAAAATTCTGTCTCACCGCATCCTCCACGCGCTGAGTCAAGGAAAAAGTAAACATGACAATCAAAGTCAAAACAGCTCACCCGATGCCCGGGAGGGGTCATGCAGGGCTTGAGCGAAGGAACATTCCCCTGCAGAGAATGAGGCCGCATTCCCACTGTCTGGGTAAAGTCCTTCCTGGACGAGAGAGCGGTGTGAATGCCTGTGTCTCCTCGTCATGCCAGAAGTGTTCCAGTGATTTTGGCCACGACATAGAGCTGCGTAGGGTGCTGCACCAGGAGTCCTCAGCACATCCTTCCAAATGCAAACGTAGCTTTAATTCCCATCTCCGAATGAACCCTCCTGAATTTAAATGCTGTATGTATCTGTGTAAATTCGTCATGAAATGAAATAATAATTTTTAGTATTACTCATCTTAAAGCCAGTATAGTTATCTATATATATAAAAGGCTAATATGCAAAGTGTTCCCTTGGGAGTTCTACCGGGAGAACGGGAGTTCCATCACTCGCTATGACATGTGCTAACCACCAGGGGGAAGTATGGAACATGGTGGACCACCAGCGGCAGCAGGGCATGGAGGGAGTGAGGGAAGGAGGAGGCGGGGAGGCAGGGGAACCTGATGGCAGGCCAGGCCTAGGGACACTACCCGTGCACGAATTTCATGCACCGGGCCTCTAGTTATATATAATACTAAATTCTGTTGTCGCCCGGCTGGCACAGCTCAGTGGTTGAGCATCACCCTATGAACCAGGAGGTCACAGTTCGATTCTTGGTCAGGGCACATGCCCTGGTTGTGGGCTCGATACCCAATAGGGGTTGTGCGGGAGGCACAGCCAATCAATAATTCTCTCTCATCATTAATGTTTCTATCTCTCTCTCTCTCTCCCTTCCTCTCTGAAATCAAGAAAAATATATTTTAAAAATTCTAATGTCTAGTTCCTATAAATTATATTTTCACAGATATTTTTCTCCATTTCTTAAGACATCCCTTAGTCACATGACTAAGACTGGCTTGAAAACACGTCCTACATCACAGCCACATGTTTTCGGTTAGGAGTGTTAGTTATAAATCCAGATGTGCAAAGTCGAGATGGGAAATATTGCCGTGTAGCCCTTGCCTCATTCGTGGCCTCGGTGGAGAGCAGACAGCAATGCACAAAGTCAGTACTTTGTTCACAACACCCGCAATGTGGCATCTCCTCTTCGGCCACCTCCGTCCCGGCTCCCTTTCATCCTCACTCATCCTTTTGTGCAGAGGTATCACTATAGAGCAGCGATCCTAAAGTAGACAGGCCTTCTCCTCCACATGTTAGCATTTCTGAAGTTGCATTTCACAGTCGATGGTGTGGATTAGTCTGTCAGCATATTTTATTCTTACTCTTGGTGTATAAAATAATGATGTCTCATACTTTTTAAAATATATTTTTATTGATTTTAGAGAGAAAGGGAGAGGGAGGGAGAGAGATAGAAGCATCAATGCTGAGAGAGAATCATTGATTGGCTGCCTCCTGCATGCCCCCTACTCAGGATGGAGCCTGCAACCCAAGCTTGTGCCCTGACCGGGAATGAAACCATGACCTCCTGGTTCATAGGTCGAAGCTCAACCACTGAGCCTCGCCGGCCGGGCTGATATCTCGTATTAAATGGCATTTTATATTTAATGGGATAGAGTATAACTAACCCCACCTGACAGCTGGGAAAATTCTAGAAGACCCAGCCCAAGGATTCCACCTGTGCGTCTGCTCTAATTCTGTTCCCTTCTCTTCCCAGGCGATCCAAAAAGACAGCTGCGAGTCCAACCATAACCTCACGTGTAAGGTGGGCTACCCTTTCCTGCGGAGAGGAGAGATGGTGAGCAGATTGTACCAGTGCATGTGGCAACTGGGTGTGAAGAGCACGCTCAAAGCCAGATAGATCGTTCCTTCTCATGGTGCCCAGGGTGCTGGCGGTGAGGGTCGAGTTCAAATGTTGAGCCCTGGGAATCAAAGGCAATTATGGCAATTATGGCACGAGTCAAGCTCAGACACCAAGACAAAATCAGATGTAAGGGGGGAAGTACCTGGTACCACGGAGCTAGAAAGCCCTCATGTTGCAGTGCCATGTAGCAGGCTTTCCTGACCTGTGGGGGCAGTAATCTTTCCAACGGGGGGTTTAGAACTTTGTACAGAAACACTACTGTTCTCTCTCTTTTAATAAAGACCTCATTGAGATATAATTCATATGTCATACAATTCAGTCCGTTAAAGTGGACAATTCAATGGATTTTGTATATTCCCAAATTGCAATTGTGCAACCATCACCACAATCCATCTTAGAACATTTTTACACACACACACACACACACACACACACACCAAAAAACCCTGTACACATTACCAGTTGCCACTCTTTTATCCTCAACAGTCCCTCTCCAAACCCTGGACACCCACTAATCTACTTCCCTTCTCTATGGATTTGCCTATTCTGACATTTTATATATATGAAGTCATACAATATGTGGTCTTTTGTGACTGGCATCTTTCACTTACATAATGTTTTCAAGGTTCGTTGATGTATTAGCAGTTCATTCCTTTTTATTTACAAATAACATTCCATTGTTGATGGGCATCGAGGTTGTTGCTACTTTTTGGCCGCTATGGATAATGCTGCTGGGAATAGCTGCGAACAGGTTTTGGTGTGGACACATGTTTTCGATTCTCTTTGGTGTAAGTCTAGGGATGGAATTGCTGGGTTATATGGCCACTATGTGTAACATTTTGGGGAACTCTGCTGTTGGCATATGTCTTCAAAAAACCTAGCTTCTGGTCTGCCTTTTGGTGTTTATGAAGAATCACGCATTGCATAATTCATATGTATGTGCAGGCACGATTTCTAACAGTAAGGTACCTCTATGCGAGTGTCAGCATAACAGCACATTTTCCATTTTTCCTGAGGTGATATTTTAACTGTGCAAACTTTTGTAAGCAAAACTCACTGGTTTTTAATAGTTTATTCTAAATTGCCAAGTCTTTTATTTGGTTTTCCTTTGTTGTTGTTATTCCTTAAAGATTTTTACACTATGAAATTAATGGGACCAAGTATCTTTCCCTCTATTTTACAATACATATGTATAGATAGTTGCTGATATTTGAAGATTTATACCAAAGAGACTTTAATTGTGATCATTTCATAATTACATTCTTTGATTGTGATCTTGTAGACTATGGTAATATAATAAAATAAATAGGCTGTACCTTCATGGTAATGCTTTATGGGTAGTATAAATTATATTTATTAATATCATTATAATAAAGTGTTTAAATTCAATATTGACATGCAAAGCATATTACATTTCATGTTGAAAAGTACATGTACATCATATCTTATTCCATTTTTTGAGATGTGATGAGTTTTTATTTTGAAAGATAATATGTCTTAAGTAACTTCATGATTTGTGTTTAGGTAATATCATTTATGTAACTGGATATTTTAATCAAAGCAAATGCTTTCTTTATCTGGCCCTAAACTAAAGTTGTATCTTTTTATTTTATAGGTAACTTTCAAAATATTATTTCAATTTAACACGACCTATCTCCTGGAGAATGTGACCATCCACTTAAGTGCAACAAGGTTGGTGTATGTGTGTGCGTGCAGAATAAGGACACTTTTATTTGGTAGAAACAATTTAATCCTCTAACTGGGTCAAACCATTTGTTTAGCAGAACATGTTGTGATCACATCGCTTATCTCTGCCAAACTGCAGTACATTCATTTACAAGTCCACAGGCCTTCCTAACCTCAGCTTTCACTGGCTGCCCATCACTGTCAGCTGAGCCCCTGGGCAGGTCTAGTTTTATGGCCCCTTTCGGTAGTTTAATAAATCTCATCCACATCAGTCAGCGCTTCCGAAAGACAGCACAGAAACATAGACTTAAAAAGGGAAAGGGTTACTACGGAAAGGGAAATAGTGGCTTACCTTCCCCCAAGTGTAAGCACCCCTTGGACCCGAAGCTCCTGAGATACGATTCTGCCTCTTACTGCTTTATTCCCAAGGAACCACCATGCTGCCTGGCCTCTCATAATCACCACACACATGTGGAGTGAACGAATAAACGACAGAATAAATTAATAGATTAATTCGGGGTGCACGACTCACTTGAACGAAACTAGTGTTTATTTGAAATCTACAATGGACAGGATGTGGAATTAGTCCTTGTAGGGATTGCAAAGGTCACTAAGGGCACAGACCTCTCCTCGGGCGAGGATCACCACAGGAGGCTGAGCCTGGAGTGTGGATTCTGTCACGCAGGGCAGAGTGGGACAGACCGTGAGAGAAACAGAAGCCTGTGTGGGAGGCTGTTCGGAGGGGGCAGGCGTACCTCCTGGGCAAGGAGAGCCCGGGCTGCCGGGTCAGGGAGCTTGTCCTGGAGAAGGTCCTTAGGGGAAGGGTAGCAATTCGCAAGCACAGGGGTCCGTGGCGTTTGCTGGCGGGGCGTTTCCGGCCAGATGTGCAGCCCGCGCCCACGCGCCGAGGGAGCGAGAGCACCGGGCCCGCGTGGAGGGACAGTGGGAAATCAGTTGCGCGCAGATGTACGAGCACATGCGAGCGTGCGCCTGCCGTGGGATGGCGAGGGCTGCGTGTCGGCGTGGAGAGGGAGGGGGAGGCGCGGAGCTCCTCTCGGGTCTGTGTGTCTGTCTGCTGTGGGACACGGTGGGCGATGGGGGATTCAGAGCAAAAGCCCCGTCGCACAAGCATGTCTACCCAAGGGGGAGCTGTCACCGCGCCGTCACTGGTTCCAACCATTCAATGCACTGGGAGCAAGGAGAGGCAGGGAGGCCCTCAGCGACCATCCGGAGGCCAACGCTAGGCTCCTGTCCGCCTGGGGAGGCGTGTGTGACAGTAATAACAGTGATGAAAGCGGACACTTACATTTCCTGTGTCGAGCACTTCACACTTGTCACTCCTCAGTCATCCGTTACTTAAATACAACCCCCGCTGTGTAGGTGAGCAAACCCAGACGCAGGGAGTCAGGACTTGCCCACGGTGTGTCCATGCGCAAGAACAGTCCCGGGAAGCCTGGCCCAGAGCCAGCGATGGGAACTGTTCAGTCACTCGCCTGTGCTTTCGTATACAGGGGGTTGTGAGGTGCAGGTATGTGTACATGTGTGTATACACCTGTCTGCATGGGTTTACAGAGCGTGCCATTGAAATGATAACTAAATCCAGGGGATGAGTAAGCGTTTAACAGACACTGTGAGCACCGAGGGCTTGCTGTGGAAAGACTGTGAAGTGAAGACAGAGATTTTAGATTCGCTCTCAGTCGGGTGACCCCGGTGGTGTCTCTGTAAGGCCCTCATCTCTGATAAATAAGAATCGCCTGGGAAAAACATAGCAGTTCTGTGCCCCAGCTTGGACCTAGGAAGCCCGTATCCCTAGGAGAGAAGCCCAAGATCTTGAATCTAAGAATGGATCCAAGGGTTCTAGTCATTACCCTCCCTGGAGTCTGAGAAGCGGGACGGACCCGTTGCGGCTGTCACCCCAGCTGCTCCGCCGTCACCTCTGCCCGCTCCTCGCCCCACTGAAAACTCGGGGGTTGAGCTCCTCTGTGCTTTTACTCAGGTACCAGCCTGCGCCTCTCTGCCGCACGCTCGGCAGTGCGGGGAAGGGCGTGGGTGCGTGTCTGATGCATGTGTGTGTTTTCCAGTGACAGCGAGGAGCCTCCGGAAACCCTCTCCGACAACGAAGCCAGCGTCGCTGTCCCCGTCAAGTATGAAGCCGGGCTCCAGTTCTCCAGGTGGGAGTGCGCTGCCTTTTTAATATGCATGTATATTGGCTTCAGAGAGGAAGGGAGAGGGAGAGAGAGAGACATCAACGTTGAGAGAGAATCATGATCGGCTGCCTCCTGCACGCCCCACACGGGGATCAAGCCTGCAACCCGGGCATGTGTCCTGACCGGGAATCGAACCGTGACCTCCTGGTTCATAGGTCAGTGCTCACCCACTGAACCACACCGGCTGGATGCAAACTGCCTTTTTATGTTGATGCCTTTCTACTGACCCAGGGCTTCTGAAAGTGTGGCCATGGCCCCTGGCCAAGGGCATCGGAACGCCTAGTAAGTTATAGAGAGGCAAATGTGCAACCCCCCCAACCCCACCCCAGACCTTCTGACTCAGAAAACCTGGGGTGGCCCCAGAAATCTGCTCCAGGGAAGCCTCGTTCGCTCTGAGGTCTGAGAGCCGGCACCTAAACAACCTAAAGCACAAGATGCCAGTGCCACGGGCTGCACGGGAGACCAGTCTCTGGTCTAGCGCAAGGAAGACAGGCCCCTTTCAAAGGCCGGTCTCAGAGTCACAGCACAGCTCCTGGCTGCCCTTTTATACTTCTACTAGAGTCCAGTACACAAAATTCATGCACTGGGGGAGGGTGTCCCTCAGCCCAGCCTGCACTCTCTCCAATCTGGGACCCCTTGGGGGATGTCCGACTGCCGGTTTAGGCCCGATAGGGATTGGGCCTAAACCAGCAGTCGGACATACCTCTCACAATCCAGGACTGCTGGCTCCCAACTGCTCACCTGCCTTCCTGCCTGATCGACCCCTAACCCAGCGGTTCTCAACCTGTGGGTCACAACCCCTTTGTCAGTTGAACGACCCTGTCACAGGGGTCGCCTAAGACCATCCTGCATATCAGGTATTTACATTACAACTCATAACAGTAGCAACATGACAGTTATGAAGTAGCAACGAAAATAATTTTATGGTTGGGTCACAACATGAGGAACTGTATTTAAAGGGCCAGAAGGTTGAGAACCACTACCCTAACTGCTCCCCTGCCAGCCCAATCACCCCCTAATGCTCTCCTGCTGGCCCAGTTGCCCCTAACTGCCCTCCCCTGCTGGCCATCTTGTTGCAGCCATCTTATGACCACATGGGGGCGGCCATCTTGTGTGAGGGCATGACCGTCAATTTGCATATTACCTCTATATTATGTAGGATGTCTTAGCGTGCAGAGGATGCAAATGGTGTAAGAATCAGGGTGAAATTTAGTTGAAAAGTCTTATCACTTTATTCTTCTCTTTTCTACGGCATTTTCCTTTTACTGGTAATAGACCACAAAAATGGGAGGCTGGTAGGCTATCCATGTAGACTCTGCTTGTTTCTTAGCCTTTACATTTTATCGGCTATTTTTCTATTCTGCTATCTTCACTTCTCTTGGGACACTGACTCTTTTCCCAAGAATTTTTTCATTTATATAAAAACGAATGTTGGCAAATACTTACAAATATTTTTTATTTGTCTGCTCTAAACAGAAGTGCTCCTTAAAATCTGTATTATACTTTATCCTAAGTGCACCAGAGATCATAGAGAAGTTGCATGGAAAAGACTGCATTTTTAAGTTTAGCGATAAATGTAGAATTTGAAACAGGGAAAAGGTAACAACTTTTTTCAACCTCCTTAAAAGTTATAAAATACCAAAAATACTGTGTTTTAGCCTCGCTATTCACTAAATGCGAGATCAATGAATTCATGAACAATTTTCATTTGGTAACAATGAGATTTTTATTGGAAACACTATACATTTTTTAGCATTTTAAGGCCATTTAAGTATCAGTGAGTATTGAACTAAAAGTATGTATAATCCTTCTGATGCCCCTCAAAGACTTAATTTTCAGCTTTGGGGTAAAAGAGCTTGCCTCTGACTTGAAATCTCTCTTAATAAATATTTTTTGTGAGGTTCCCTGATACGAAGAAAGAGAAAGAATGTGGTCCAATAAAAGTTAAACTTTGTGATGTCTTATTTCTCTTCTTCCTATTAACTCCCTCCAGCTCTGCCAGTGAATACCACATTTCAATCACGGCCAACGAGACTGTCCCTGAAGTGATCAATTCCACTGAGGACATTGGGAATGAAATTAATATCTTCTACTTGGTAAGAAGTCGCCTTTACATTCGTATTGTAAGGAGTTATTTGCACATTTATAAGTTAAATGGAAGTGTTAACAGACACGCAGAAACATTTTGGTTCACCACTTTCTATATATCAACATATTTTTATTTATAATTCAGTGCTTTAAAATAATTTTCTTCAAATTGATCATTATCTCTGAAGCAGTTTTAAAGACCTACCTCTCCAATTTTCTGATAATAAGACACAATAAATTAGAATGATTTTCTAGAAAAACAAACTATGAAATCAAATAGATACTGCCTCCAATATTTACTTTTTTTAAAAGTATGACTGAGTAAAGCACTTTCTAAAAAATACCTACAACTATTTCAGAAAGCGATTATTTGAAATTATCTTGGTAACATTTCTCTGTACTCAACAAGTAAATGATCATCTCAGTGTGCTCTTTGCTACTCTTCCTATGTATCAGACCATAACTTATGTTCTCACTGACACCTCTTAAAGCAGTGGTCGGCAAACTGCGGCTCGCGAGCCACATGCAGCTCTTTGGCCCCTTGAGTGGGAGAAGGTCACGCCTCTGCTTCTCCCCCAGGTCAGGAAAAGCGGGCAGTTCCCGATGCCAGAGCTCAGGCTGACCGTGTCCTTCCCCAACCTGACGGCAGACGGCTTTCCTGTGCTGTACCCACGCCGGTGGGCCTCGTCCGACGTGAGTCCCGGCCCGCGGGTCGTGTTTACAGCTCCCTATTCCGCGGGCCCCTGTGACGGAGAGCTTTACCAGACGAGCGTGGGGAGGCACTTGGAACCATTTTAAATACCAGTAACTTCCCCCGTGAGCAGGTGTATTCCTTCCCTGCAGCTGCTGGGGTGACAGATCGCCCTGAACCGGGTGGCTCAGGACAGCAGAAATGTGTCCCCTCACCCCTGGAGGCCTGGGTCTGCCATTGGGGTGTGGGCAGCGCTGGTTCTCTCCGGAGGCCGGACGGGGGGTAGGGCGGAGGGGGGGGTCCCTCCCTGACTCCTAGATTCTGGCCGCTGCTGCCGACCCTGGCGTCCCTCACCTGTGGCGGCATAACCCAGGCTCTGCCACGTCTTCCCTTTCCTGTCTCTGTACAAACATGCTCACCAGTGAGTTGGGAGCCCCCCTGAATCCAGGGCGATCTCAGCTGAGATCATTATTCACCCCCTCAGCCATGCACCTATTTCCCAGTGGGTCGCCGTCCCAGCGCCCAGGTCTGGGGCTTGGGCATGTCATCTGGGGTCACTAGCCAATCAGAGAGGGTTTCAGATAACCCATCTTCGACTTGTGCCTGAAATGTATGTTGCTTTAATTTGTTGGAGGTGCTCAAACTAAAAGAGACTTTTTAAATAATATATATATATTTTATTGAGTTCAGAGAGGAAGGGACAGGGAGAGAGAGAGAAACATCAGTGATGAGAGAGAGCCCTTGATTGGATGCCTCCTGCATGCCCCCCACTTGGGGATCGAGCCCAAAACCCGGGTACGTGTCCTGGTTCATAGGTTCACACTCACCCACCAAGTCACACCTGCCGGGCAGGTATCACGTGTTTAAAAATTCTCGCAGCACCCCAGCGTGCCGTGGCACCCCGGCTGAGAACCGCTGGCTTATGGGCTAGTGAGTTCTACCAGCAGCCTACCGTCCTTTTCCGTTCCATCCTCGCCGCGATCTATTACAATGCAAAAGTGGCTCAGAAACAGGGGTGCTGCCTGGAGGTGGGTGGAGCATCGCACACGTGCACGGGTGATAACTGACTGTCGCTCACGGCCCCTTCGTGTCATCGCACGGATGCGTGTCCCTCCGCCAGCTCGCGCCGCCTGCTAAAGCCTGTCTTCCCTCCTAGAACGCAAACTGCAGGCCCAGGGACCTCCAGGACCCTCTCGGCATCAGCGCAGGGAAGAAGACGGTCACACTCACGTCGGAAGATTTCAAGCGAGGCACGATGCTGGTAAAGTCGGGAAACCAGACAAGCGCTCCTCCCCCCCATGCCGCGTGCTTGCCCGAGAGAGTCCGTGTGCACTGAAATCATCTGCCACAGACGACTGTCACCCCCCGTCTTCCAATGCCGCGAGCACTAATGCTCACCTCTGCCCACCCGCAGGACTGCAGCACCTGCAGACTCGCCACCGTCACCTGCAGCCTGGCTCCCTCTGACGTGACCCAGGTCAACGTGTCGCTGGTCCTGTGGAAGCCCACGTTCCTGAAGGTGAGTGGCCGCATCGCTCGTGAAGTGGTCGTGCTGACAGACGTCCAGGCCCTCCTTAGCGTGTGCAGCGCGGAGGCTTGGTGGGAAGCCCACCAGATGGGCGTTTGAAAGGATGTGGTCCGAGCCCAGCTCTGCTGACCAGCCACCGGGCCTCGCTTTCCTTGTCTCACCTTCCAGGCCCCTTCCAGTGTCTGCGTCTCCCAGTCTCCTCATCCTCGTCCTTTGCCTCTCAGAAGATAACGCCTTGTAACACCATTTCTTAATAGTGTAGAACTCAGCCCAGAGTCAAAGGCTTATAGAGAGACAGTGCTTGACATGTTAACAGAGAATAGCGCTAACATGTATGACGCATTGACTGTATTAAACCAGACCATCTCTCTGTCCATAGCGATAGCTAAATAAATAGATATGCCCATTTTTATCATATATATATATATATATATATATATATATTTGAAGAACTTTTAAAAAATCTTTATTGTTGAAAGTATTACATATTTTCTCCTCCCCCCATTGGCCTCCGCTAGCCCACCCCTGCCCCCCACTCTGGCCTTCACCCCCTTATTGCCTGTGTCCATAGGATATGCATATGAAGTCAAATACATCTGACAGCAACCTACTTTAGAACTTAGTCCACTGTCTTTTGTAGTATTTGTTTCTCTCTTGGAAGTATTTGGCTCATTATATGAAATTCCCATTTTTGCATTTGATCATACTAAATTGCTATTTTTGCAAGTCACAAATTGTCCAGTGTTGGCAATTTGATGTTTAATCCTGAACACACCCCTCTATACACCTCGTCATTGGAGCGTAGCTGTTTCACGCCTCGCTACGCAAAGGGTGGGCGGGGTTTGAGGCTTGTTTTGCTAAGGGTGCACCTGAACAGAGGCGATTCAGACCACGCTCCCGCTCTCTGGCAAGGCTCCGAGTGATGACGTGAGCGCAGGGAGGAAGGGTGGGGACACAGCCATCGCTCGCTACCACCTGTTCCACTGGGATGTTAGCGAAACCCGTGTCTTTCATCTCTCAGGAGCGGGCGGGGCGGCGAAGGGGCCACCTGGACGGCGGCGGGAGAAGGGTTGCCTCTGGGTGGGGGCCGCCGTGCGACATGCAGACGGTGTAGCGTAGAAACATACGCGCGAAACCGACACAATCCTTCTAACCAATGGCACCCCCACAAATTTCATTTAAAAATCTGTTATTTGGAAATAAGATCAAACTTACGGAAAGTTGCACCAAAAAAGTGCAGCACTCACACACGTCCAGCTCTCGCTGCGATGAGCATCACACACACATTGCAAGTGAGTCCTGTTTGCTTTGCAGATGAGTTTTTCCAGCTTGAATCTCACCGTCAGGGCGGAGCTTCGGAGCGAGAATGCGTCGCTGGTGCTCAGCCCCAGCAACCAGCAGAGAGAGGTGAGTGGGCTCCGGCGGGACACATTGTCTTCCTGCCCAAGTGGTGACCTGGCCTGTGGCCCTTGCTCAGAGCCCAGCAGTGACTAGTCCCGCCCCCAGGGGGCGACAGACACTTTTGCTTCAAACTGTACTTGATCCACCTCAAGTGTGAGTCCAGCCTCATTCTTCTTAGTGAGAAGCAGGGGGGCGGGGGGGGAGGGTGCAGGGGGGCGGGGGGGCAGGTGGCCATTAACACGCCACCGCTGACTCCACTGCTTCCCACTCTCCCAGTCAGTCGATGTGTTTATTTTCACCGCGACGACGAATAAAGCTTCTGTAACTCCCGCCTGAACACTGACATGTAGACCGCACAGCGTCTGCGGGCAGATGCGGAAAGCAGTTCCTGTACAGAGAGGGTCTTCCCCCCTCCGGGAACACCTGCCATTTCCCAGTTTCCCTCTAGTCACCGGGCACTTGGAGCAGGAGGGAGCCTTATTCCCGCGCACACACTCAGGCCTGAGCCCTGGGCGACAATGACAGGCTTGAATGTCCCTCTTGCCCCGTTGCTAAGTGAGGCTGAAGCGTTGGCTACAGACGTGGGCCCTTCGGCATCACTCCCTCCCATCACGGACGGCTGGGCTGTGCCGTGGGGCTTGCTATCAAGTCACTTCGGAAGCTGCCTCATGTTCAGATGTTTTAACATTTCGTATTTCGAAGTATTCTCTTAAATAACTTAAATGTCAATGACCTCATAAATGTTCGCCTTCAAAGAATGTTTGGGTACAACCCATAGAACATATGCATAGAACGTGTGCCTACTGTATACGCAAGTGCTGAGCAGATAGATGCGGGCTTGTCCCCCACACAGGGGAGTCCAGATTTCACAGTGAGCGCCCGCCAAAAAGTGTATTGTGTGCATTCTATTGGAAAAGTGTACGTTTGATTTCTAAATGTGTTTCGTTCACATTTTTAGAATTAGCTTCTTTCCCCTCCGTGTTACTTTAAAATCCCCCGTGGCTCTCTTTATTGTACATCTTTCCCTAACGAAAAATGCCCCTGAATTGTTAGCGTGACTCAAGGTGACCATCTTGCAGTCCTGTGACCTGGGAGCAGGCCCGGTCCCGCCCAGGCTTTGGTTCGTGTCTGAATCTCGGAGAGTTCTTGGAGCCGCGGTGCCTGTCTGTCCCCGCGCCCAGCAGTGACCGGCCGGGCGCCCGAGGTCTGATGGCCGGCCAGTGTGCGGACCCCTCCCCTGCCGGCTTCCCCTCCCCCTCCCTCCTCTCTCTCGGGGAAGCACTAGAGATGGTCCCTGGGAAAGGCACATGCAGAAGCTTGAGCTGTTGTTAGTCGTCCATATCCACCCTCGATGTTTTTCTCAGAAACCTACGGGGTGGGACGGGGCAGAGCAGGGTTGTGGAGGTGGGAGCCACAGGGGGACCTGAGGAGCCGGACCTCGAGCAGCCGCCCTCCCCCAGGTTCACTTCGGTTCAGACCTAACTCACGGGCTCTGACTGGGTCATAGGGAGACACGGTCACGGGGAGACAGGGTTCTGGGGAGACTCAGTCACTGGGAGACACGATCATGGGGAGACACGGTGACGGGGAGACACGGTGACGGGGAGACATGGTCACAGGGAGATACAGGTAGGACAATAAAAAGCCCGTCGGGGTGACACATTTGCCAAAATTCTTTTATGGGTGCGCTTGGCACATGTGCATTTTCCTGTGTGAAATTAGACCTGGTTTGTGAAAAATAAACATGATGCACATTGAATTACCAGTAAAATAAGACTTGCTCAGGGTTTTATGTCCAAACCCTGTGGCAGCAGGCACTCCCGCCTGCGTGGATGCTGCTGTGATGGCGCGCTGAGGTCTGTGACCGTCTAGAGCAGTGATGGCGAACCTATGACACGCGTGTCAGAGGTGACACACGAACTCATTTTTTTGGTTGATTCTTCTTTGTTAAATGGCATTTAAATATATAAAATAAATATAAAAATATAAGTCTTTGTTTTACTTTGGTTGCAAATATCAAAAAATTTCTCTATGTGACACGGCACCAGAGTTAAGTGAGGGTTTTTCAAAATGCTGACACGCCGAGCTCAAAAGGTTCCCCATCCCTGGGCTAGAGCGTGTTTCCGTTCTCCCCGAGGTACAGTCCCCTCTGCCTCTGGGCCTGCGGCGTCGCAGACAGTCCAGTCCGTCTCTGTGTGGCTCTGAGGGACGGGCTTGTCGTTGGGGTGGCAGTGAATGGGGCGCGGTGGAGCTGTGGAGAGATGAGGGCGTTTCCCGGGTGAGCCCCGCGCCTCCGGGGCAGCCAGGAGCTGCGTGCCCTGTGTGGCAGGAAGTGCAGCCGGGGCGCAGCGTGCGGAGTCCTGAAAGCTGTTCCCCGCATCCACAACCTGTGCCCCCCTTCCAGCTCGCGATCCAGGTGTCCAAGGACGGGCTGCCGGGCCGCGTGCCGCTGTGGGTCATCCTGCTGAGCGCCTTCGCCGGCCTCCTGCTGCTGCTGCTGCTCATCCTGGGCCTGTGGAAGGTGAGCCGCCCCCCCCCCCCCGCCCCCCGCCCCCCGCCCCCCGCCTCTCCGTCCCGGTGTCCGCACGGCCCCATGCGGTGCCACACGGCAGTGGAAAACCCTGGAAGCAGGACCGAGGCCAAGGAGAAAGAAAAGTGTCTCTCAAACATCCCATTTTTGTAAAAGAAAAAAAAAAAGATAGATCCAAAAATCAAGGAGGATCCCTTTAGAGCAGGCGGGACCTTCTCTCTGCCAAGGGCCGGTGGGATATTCATGACATCCTCCGAGGGCCGTTCAGAATGATCGACTTAAAAATTAGCCCGTCCAACACTTAATTCACTCACCCCGATGCCTTGGCAGGGCCAGGCCAAACGATTTCTCAGGCCTTATATGGCCCGCGGGCTGGACGTTCCCCACCCCTGCTCTAGCGGTTGGGATTATAGGGAACGTGTGTGTGTGTGTGTGTGTGTGTGTGTGTGTGTGTGTGAGAGAGACACTGGGCATTTTACTGTACGTGTACATGTCTTTCATAAGCAGAGAAGAAGGTACACTCTCTTGCAGAGGGAAAGGGTAGGGTGGGCCGCCATGTCCATTTAAGGATATGTATGGGGTGGGATCACGGTTAAGATACGCCTTATCCTAATCACACCCTTCTATGTATCCTAAAAATCAAATGCTCATTTAACGTATAAACAGATATGTTACATGTTATGCCATCGTTTCGTGCCTGCCTGAGAGGTGAGGATTTTAGTAATTAGTGGACAGAAGGGAAATCTTAGAGATTCATAGACTCCTATTTCAAATCCTCTTGTAAAACTGGTAACACCTGTTTTCTGCGGGTAGATCCCTATGTTTACCCAGATGTTGTGCTTAAACGGAGGTAGGCAGATTTTTAAAACTCTTAATGTTTCATTTTTAAAGAAGCAGAACTGAGATGATAGCTTTTAAGATAAATTTAATAGAGAATAAAATTCCATAGAAAGTTGAATTTAATATTTTCCAAATTTAACATCAACTTGGCATTTACCCTATATTCAACCAATTACATTGTTAAATAGATAAACTATATTAAAAATACGATTGTGGATACATATTCATTTTTCTCCCCCCCCCCCCCCCACTATTATTCTGTTTTGGGCTCAGGGTACCGCATGGTGGTCAGACAATCCTATTCTTTACAAGGTGCTCCCTGATATTTCCAGTGCCCCCCCCCACACACACACACCTTCCATAGTTAAGACACTGTTGACTGTGCTTTACATTCCTGTCGTAACGGCCCCTCTGCACTTCTCAGTCCCTTCCCTTTTCACCCCGCCCCCACCCCGCTCCCCTCTGCACCCATGTTTCTAATACCCGAGAACAGGATTATCTTTGAATCAAGTGCTTTAAGCAACAAATGTCTCTCCATCAAATTGCCGGCAGTTCCGACCACTCTGACTCTCCAAAGGTGACCACCTTCCTCTTTTGGGGCGAGTGACCCTCAGAGGAGAAGACGAACAAAACCACGTTAAGGACGTAGGTCGGCGGCCTTTAGGTCAGTAACTAGAGTCCATAGCTTTTGTCCAGCAAAGTCTCCAAGACGGATTGTCCGCCTTCCCAAACCTCCGGCTCTTCCCTGTCAGAGAGCCTGCTCTGCGTGTAATACCTGGCGTGGCCACCCGGTGGCGCCCGAGCCCGGCTCAGCGGTGTCCAGGCGCCCCCGGCACAGAGCGCGGCTGCCCGCTCGCCTGCTGCTCCCGCTTCCTCCTCTGGTCCTGTGCGCCCCGCACCGCACGTGCCCGCCCGCACCGCTGTAGGAGGGACTTCTCTGCCCGGCCCTGGGGAAGACGATGGCAGCGCGGAGGCAGCGCCAGCTCACCGCGGGGGGCATGTGTCCCGAAATGTCCCCGGGCCCTGGAGGTTACTCCTCTGCCCGCACCGGTGACCACTGGGAGGCGCTGCACTCACCCGCGGACAGGCTAACATGACGTAGTCATGTGACGGCATTTCTTGACATCCGTATTTCTCCGTAGGCCAATGGAAAAAGGCCCTCTCAGTTAGGCTTAATTATCCGAACGCCCAGGATTGTTGACGTCGTAGGAAATCAATTTCTATTCAAGGAGACTGGTACTTATTACTTAAAGTCAAGTTATTAATTGTGTTATGTTGGGTATTCTCTCAACAGATTGGATTCTTCAAAAGACCGCTAAAGAAGAAAATGGAGAAATGAAACATTTTACAAGAGAAAAAATAATTTTTCAATGATCTTTCCTCAGGTTTGCCTCAAATATGTGACAAGAAATTTATAAATATAATTAAAGACAGTCACATAAATTTATATAATCCATCAGGGTTAATCACTTGGAAAATGAAGAGATCAAGCCAGATCCAAAAGCAATACCATATATATATTTTATAAAATGATAAAAATATTTTTAAATAATTACTCATTTTTGTTGAGTATTTAAGCAGACAGTGTTTTGAAGATGAAGAGTAACCTGTAGAAATATGTTTATATATGAAATCACCAAAGTATTTAAGAAATGCTTAGAAAGATTTTTATGATCATTGAAACATTTACGTTCAGAACAGTATAAGTTAAGCTTTTTTTATTGATTCCTCCTCAATATACATCAGCATGAAAGTCAGCCTTTGTAAATGCTGGGGAAGAAATTAACCGAAGAAGGTTACGCCCCCCGACTCAAGTGGTGAACATTTCCCGGGTGGAGGCGATCGTGGACCGAACGGCATTAAACGCCGAGAATCATGCGTTCGGCAGCTTTGTCGTGGACTCAGTCCTCGGGCGGCTTCCTTCCCGAAGTGTTTGGACACTCGTGTGTGCGACTGCGCTGCGACTCGTCCGCGGATGGGAAATCGAGGAAGGCTTGTTTGACAGCAAGCGCACTGACGGCTCCGTAAGCTTTGACACAGCATGCCTCATTCTGACCTTGAGCTCGAAGCCCACGTCCTGTCCCACTGCAGCCAACAAACAGAATCCCCGAGAGCAGCCTCGTGTCCCGGCAGCGACTCCTCGCGACAGGCCGCGTCCTGCGTGGGACCCGCTGACGTGGACTCTGAGTGGGACGTCGCAGCGGGAACGGCCCCTGAGGACGGGAGAGGCCCCCAGGGGAGCCGACTCAGCAGCAGCTCCCCGGCCCGGTCCGGCCGCCCAGCCCCCGGCGTGGGGGGGGCGCTGGCCTTCGTTTCTGAAGGCGATTTGCTGTCCAAGCCTCGGACCCCGAGCAAGGGGCCTCCCTCCGCCTTGCATGTCACCAGGAGGCCAGGCTTCTGAGCGCGGCCCGAGCAGCACCCAGGACTCCAGAAACGCCTTTCGAGGGACCTCGGGTTTGACCCCTCAGCCCACGGAAGGATGCCACCCGCGGGGTGTGTGGTTGCTCTGAGGCAGCGTCACGGCGGGACTCACGCGGCCGGAGCTCCAGCTGCTGCGCGTCCGGGCAACTGGCGACGCGGGCACAGCGGCCCACGGGGACCCCGCGCTGGAGCGTGAGCTGGGGCCTCCGCAGCGACCCCCTCTTCCCTCCGACTGGCCGGCACCAGGCCGGCACCTGCCGCCATCAGAAGGCCCTGGCTCCGCTTCGCTCCAAATCAGGAAAGGCGTGACAGGCCCTGGGTTCATTTTTTATTTTTAAATATGTTCTTATTGATTTCAGAGAGGAAGGCAGCGGGAGAGAGAGAGAAACACCAGTGATGAGAGAATCACTGACCGGCTGCCCCCTGCACGCCCCGCACCGGGATCCAGCCCGCAGCCCGGGCCTGTGCCCTGACCGGGAATCAAACCCTGACCTCCTGGGTCACAGGTTGACCCTCAGCCACGGAGCCACGCTGGCTGGGCCCTGGCTTTCATTTTTTAAAACTGATTTCTGTGGAATTGCCTGAGGACCGGGGTCAGCGGCCCCATGGCTCTCCGCATGGACCTCTGCGATCCCGTGGTCAAGGTCAAAGCCAGGCCTCCAGGGAGAGGCAAGGTCATCACAGCCGGGAGAAAGGCCAGGTCTCTCCTGAGCTGGCCTCCGCCCGCCGCCTGTGGCTGCAGAGCTGTCCACTTAGGAGTTTCCTCCACCCCCACCCCCTCCAGGCATCAAACCCTCTCCCTCCCAGCACGACTTCCTTTGCTGGGCCACGCTCGGCCTCTGACTCAGAGCCACCGGCGCACAGTCCCGCGCACAGTGGCCCCGCAGCGCCGCCCTGGGCTCACGCATCCTCAGATAAGCCGGCGGGGAAGGTGGCATTCACACGGCCCCTGAGACGCCAGGAACGCAGCCCCTGAGCCGGGGGTGCGCACTTAGACCACACGCTCTGCACGCAAAGGGAGTGGAGAGGGTGGCCTGGGACTCCTTAGAGAGAGAGGAAGGGCTGCTGGGCCCGTCACTCACATGTCACTTCTGGGTTTTGAGTAGAATATTTAATGAACCCGATGCCCCATTTCCCAAATATAATCACTTGTTGAGGTTTATGTGTGTCTCTGTGTGTACGCGTGTTTGTGTGCATGAATACACACGCACAGGCACACAGGCACAGAGTCCATACAAAATACCTCACTAGCACCAAGTGGCAGTTTACAGAAAATAAACACAGAAAAGCCACACCAAAAAGAAAGGTTTGCTTCATTTTCATGAGCGTGTAGCGTGAGCATCCAGTTCTGCAACTAAAAATAAGGCCGCGGGTCTCCCTCCCGAGTACCTCCTAAAAACATCCTAGCGCAGTCCGTGATTCAGAAATAGACTCAACTTTATCATGTAATTTTAAGCTATTTACTAGGAAAAGTAGGTGGAACTTACGCCTGTTTATTAAGTTATTAGCTACGTTCAATTGCGGGATACTTCCTTTTTGAGTTGATTATTGCTTACCCTGTGAAATGAACTGTGACGTCCCTTCCTTGACCAGCCATGGTGTGTTGGTAAATTCTTTAACTCTCTCTCCAAAGGGAAAAACTTTTGCATTTTTGTCCCATTTCCGTGCTCTGAATAGTCCCGCCGTAGCCACTTTCCACTCCCAACAGGACCCTCACCGGCTTGCAAAAATCCCCGGAAATGTCTGCCGGCCCCTTCTTGAGGCGAATGACCATGATGGACAGACAGGCAGATAGATACGGAGATTTAACATGTTGTACATACACACATAGGCAAACACAGTAATTATAGCTCAAACGATGCTTAACCTACTGATCTCAAGCCCAGCAGACACAGTGCTCAGTGCCCCACGCTTCCATGTCAGTGTCTGAAACATTAACAAAATGCCCTGGCCTTGCGGGGGAGGGGGGCGGCTGGAAGCCAGGCTGCGTGAGGTGGACGTGAGGCTGGGGACGCAGAGCGGGGGCGGCAGGGGCGGTCCTCCTTCGTCAACATCGACCTTCTCTCCCTCAGCGTGGGCTCCAGGGAGCAGCTGGCCCTCTGTGCTCAGTTGTCTGCCCTGAGCAGTGGCTCCTGGACGATGTAATCTCTGACTGTTTTCTGTGTAATTGTTCTTGAAATGAAGTTGCGGACGGAGATCTATTTTACAAAATGTGCCGCTTGCTCCACCCTGAGAATTGTGCCTGTAATGACGTTGATGTAGACCCTCTCTCTCATGAAACCATCATGTGTCAGGCTCCGTTGTAAAGTACAGATTCGCACCCAGAGCCAGGCCGCTGCCCAGGGCCAGGGAGACACGGGGTGGCGTCGAGGCCGTGAGCAGCGCTGCCCCTTCTCTCGGCATCCTCGCCCCCACCCACGGGCCACCGCCTGCAGCGTGAGCGAGGCCCCAGGTCCCACACTGCTTCACACAGGTCCTCTGTGGGAAGGTCCGCCTCGCCTGCCATCTGCCACCCCACAGACACGCGGTGAGCGAGCTGGGCAGCCGGCCCGGAGCGCGGGGCGCCAGGGCTGTCACGTTCTTGGTCGAATCAAGAGGCTTCTGGCAGATCCATGTTGAAGACTTCATACCCCAGGCACCTTCCTTCACCTTGAGGTTCCCGAGGCCCCGCCCTTGGTCTCCCCCCGAGGGAGGATCCAGGCCGCGGGGAGAGAGCGTCTCCACGGGCTCTGCCAGGAAGCTGCTCCGCGACGTGATGGCCGAGGGGGTGGCGGATGCGGCTTCAGGCCTTGCCCCTCTGGGCGTCTCGGGACAGCAAGCACCACACAGAGTGGGAGAGGCAGTGCGCCCCGGAGAGGGGCCGTCCTAGAGGACAGGCCACTGTGGGCTCCCGCAGCTCTACCGTGTGGGGCTCCCTCAGCCCCCCCTCACCCAGGAAATAACCCAAATAACCCAGGACACGCAGAAGGTTCTGCAGTGGCCTCACAGCGACGGTGCTGCTTTTCACTAAGAGCAGGACTGGGAGCCGCAGACTCCACACGCAAACCCGCCGCAGGGGGGAGCACTGGCACCCCTTCCAGCAGGCGCTGCTCACAGTCCCTCCCAGGGAACCGAGGCCGCCCCACCTGAGCTCCTCAGGGCGGGCCCAGGGCCAGGCCACCTCGGCAGCCGGAGGAGAGAGACAGGGGCCGCCGTCCAACCTGGGAACCCGATGAGCAGGTCGGCCTCGCTGAGCCGCCTGTCAGCATGGGCCTTGAGTTTAGAAATTGCAAAGAAGAGCCTTTCAGGTCAGCCGTGAGGAAGGCAGAGGAGCTGGCGTAGGCCCTCCGGGCAGCCCTCTGTCCCCCCACACCTGGCCCGGGGGCACGGGGCCTACTGAAGAGAAGGGACCCTCTGTCCCTACAGGGGCCCCAGCTTCTCTCCTGAACCCGCTGGGTGCCTGGACCAGTCCGCACATCACACACGCACACACATCGCACATTCACATCACACACAGACATCACACACACAGGCGCACATCACACACATACAGACATCACACACACACGTGCACACCACACACACACGCACGCGCGCGCGTGCACATGCCCAGCTGGCTAAACCCTGGACATTCCGCAGATGTGCATGTGACTTGGCCTTTCCCCGTCACCACTGAGCTTGGAGCCTCACTCAAGGCTCCCCTGCCTTTTCCTCCCGCGCGGGCTGGAGTTCAGTCCCTGAGCCCTGGGCACGGGACCTCTGTGCTGTCCGTGGCCCCTCTCCCTGCTGCCTCCTGTCCGTGGCCCCTCTCTCCTGCTGCCTCCTGTCCGTGGCCCCTCTCCCCGCTGCCTCCTGTCCGTGGCCCCTCTCCCCGCTGCCTCCTGTCCGTGGCCCCTCTCCCCGCTGCCTCCTGTCCGTGGCCCCTCTCTCCCTGCTGCAGCCTGGAGGTGCAGAGGCCAGCCAGCCCTGTGCCCCTCAGGCCTTGAGGGGTGAAGGCCCCTGCTGAGCCCCAGAATCCCTCCATTACCTGAGACAGTGGAAATCGAGGCAGTAACCGAGGGACCAGTGACACTCAGCCCATGGCTACGTTTAACTCCAGCCTCGTCCGGGTCACACCTGCGTGAAAGCAGACTCGCGGGAACTGTCGGGGCCCCGGGCGGCCGAGTCTGTACTGTGTCCCTTCAGCTGGACCTCACTCACCCTGGGGACGGACATGAAAGGCGAGCAGCAAAGGCAGGTGTCCTCCCCAGCAGCCCTGCTGACATCACCGGTCCTCACCCCTCTTTCAGGGCGGAGGGAGGTGGGAGGGGAGGAGGGTGACAGCTCTTCCCCCCCTCCTCGGCCAGCCAAGCAGAGGGGAGCCCCCCCGCCGCCCCCAGGGAGGGAACGGGGCTTTCGGAGGGAGGGGGCAGAGCCAGGTGCGGGCGCTGTCCCACCCCAGCATCTTGCCTCCAGGGAGAGAGGATAAAGGAGGCGGGAGGAGAGGGCGCTCTGTGACATCCTCCTCCTCCTCCTACAAAGACTAAACTCCCCGAGACTGCCCCGTCCCTGCCCCGGCGGCAAACCAAATGGCTGAGTCGCCCCGCACCAGGCGCTCTGCCCGCCGCGGGGAGCTGCACACACGGGGCTGCAGTGAAACCAGCGCTGGCGGCAGCCGCAGCTCAGCCCCCTTCCCGCTGGGGCCGGTTCCCACGCTCGTCCCAACACCCAGTGTGTTTCTGAGACGCCCACCCTGGTCAGGACGCGACACCCCGCGCCCCGTCAGCAGGCGAAGGCCGCAGGAGACGCTGTCCGTGTGCTCCTACTGTGCGCTTGTGCAGTCGTTCATGGACAGTGTGAAGAACTGTGCCCACTGTGTCAAAGGAGAAGCATTGTATGGAATAACTACTGCCCCACACGTCATGTACACAGCAATAAACTGCATGGCCTACCACCGAGAGCTCGCGCTGCTGGTCTTTTAGCTACGTTTATATTCATGTGTAGAGCGAGAGGAAGGGGAGGGGAGAGAGAGAGAAGTGAAAGTGGGACATCATCCATGGGCCGCCGCCTGCACACCCCCTACGGGGGATCTAGCCCGCAACCTGGACATGTGCCCTGACCGGGAATCGAACCAGCGGCTTCTTGGTTCCTGGGTCGATGCTCAGAGGCTGAGCCCGGCCGGGCACAATGCGTAGTGTTTTATGTGCCTCAGAGTAAACTGCGCGTTTCTATGAGCCTTTTTATGGGGCAAAGTGACTAGAAGGTGTTTCGATCGCATTCAAGAACAAAGGGCGACCTCTGTAGACTCTAGTCCTTTATTAGAGACCTAATTTAAACCCGTGTTTTAAAGGAAGTCGGTTATGGGGTAGCAGTGAGTTAAATGGGTAAAATTAGAACGAGCTGAGCGAGCAGGGACTTTGCGAATATCCTGCGTGCAGCATCCTGTGCGGGTTCGAGGCCAGAGGCCCGGTGCTTCTGTGTGATT